ATGCCCAGAATGGGAACACAACTGGCAAGTGGGTGAAAAAGATGAGAGGAATAGAAAAGCTGTGTTGATTGCTAAAATTAGTGGTTTCTTTTCTGTGGTGTTTCAGGTATTATTCCTTGGAATGCTGTACCTGGCAAAGCCTGTGGCCCAATTTTAGAGAACATCTGCAACACGAATGAGGTACAGAAATGTAACCTGTGTGCAGCTTTTGCATCCAGGTCACTTGGGCACCATGTAACAAATATCTGATTGATGTTTTTGGAGAGAAAACTCATGCTAGTAGTATAAAGAGATTGCTTTAATTGTAACAATGAAGTAATTGTTACATCATCCAAAAAAAAAGAAAATTATTTTCACACTTTTATTTTCTCAAGCTTTGCTGCCATGCTAGATGGTTTTATTATCGTTATTCTCTAGAACATTTGAAATGCATTTTATACTATTCCTAATGAATTAATTCAATGTTTTGAACGTGTTTTTTTCTTTAGTTCTACATGTCTTACCACCTGTTCATTGTGGCTTGTGCTGGAGCTGGTGCCACTGTCATAGCATTGGTGGGTAGTATTTTTTGTTGTTTTATCATTAAAAATGTTAATTTTAGGCTTAAGATGCTTTAAGATTAAATTTTGTATATATTAAAGGTAGTGATACTAGACATGAAGGGGGGTGAGCTGTAATCACCATTATTTGCTGCTGTGGTTTGGTCATCACAAGTCAGCAGGTCCCCAACTTTTGCTTTAGGAAGTCACCTTAACCCGCCTCCCCCATACTTAGGAAAAAATGATTTGCATGTCCTTTCAAAATCCTACTTCTATCCACTATTTCTGCTTTTATTTCCACTATTTATTTTCATTTTTGTAGTTTATTTGATCAGCTGCTTATAACCTCTGGGTTTCCATTGCCTGGAGCCAGGCAGATTGGTCCAACCCTGCAGTGCCCGTTCAGGTAGCGGTTCCTATGCCTAACGCTTCCTTTAGTGGCCAGCTTCTAACCCTGTGCCAGCCAAGGCTGCTGTAGCACTCACAACTGGCTGACAAAATGGCCTTAGGGCTTGAGCTGGGTTATCCTCCCCAGAGAAATGGCAGGTTTATTTATTTGCATCTTCACCCTGGAAGGAGCTCAGAGTAACATCTGTTGTAAAAGTATCGAGAGTTGCCCAAGTGGGCTTGAGCCGTCACCTTGTTGTATCTTACTCTCCTGTATTTTGTTCTCTTCCACCAGCTGATCTACATGATGGCTACTACATATAACTATGCTGTTTTGAAGTTTAAGAGTCGGGAAGATTGCTGCACTAAATTTTAAATTGTATAAGCCCAGTAAAAAGCTGCATTGCGTAGCTTGAAATACCACTGACACCCTAGACTAAAAGTCTAGCTTTTGGATTTTGTTACAGTAATTGTAAATAGCTTCAGTAAGCATCATTTAGCTTATCAGATTAATGAAATGACTTCTTGTATATGAACTATGATGTGGATGAGATCTGGCTATTTTTTCATGTTGAGAGGATTCAGTTACTGTAGGGGTGTTTATAAAGCATCCTTCTGAAAAAGGGATGTTTTAATTTCAGGTCTCCACTTGATTTCTAACAGTCATCTCAAACAAATACTGGAACAGTTCAGGGTCAGATGCATTAATTTATTCTTTGCCATGAATGCCAAATACAAATGCCCCTAAGCATGCAAAATATATATGGTGTGAAAGAAAAGGAATAGTAAAGTAGTGCCAGTCTATGTTGGCAGAGGTCAGAAGCCCAGGTATTATGAATTAATTTGCTTGTATTTCTAAGTGATTCCGTGGATGATTAAATCAATTATTTTCTCTTAAGTGCATGCCAAATGATACTCTTGCTCTAAGAAAATAAATCCTTGTCTTAGCTCTGCGTAAAACAATCACATTCTTTCTTTTGGACCCTGAACTAGTAAGAAACAGCATATAAATAGCTTCTGCTCTTGTATGGCTGCACTTTAGTAACTGATTTCTCAGTAGCCAGATCTCAAAATGTAAGTATGACTGCACAGGAAGCAAAACCATGCATAGATCACAGGGACCTTTTCACAGTGTTGGGGGGAAAAAGAAGGAGAAGTGAATCAATGTTTTCAGATGTAGATGTTTTTGCATGAAGTATGGGTAAAAGAAGTTGGCAAGAGACGAATGCACAAACTAGAAAAACAAACACATAATAATTTAAAAAGAGAACCGTTTGCTATACACAACTCTTCACCTGAGGTTGGACAATGGAAGTTTAAAATGTAGCTAATAAAAATGCAGGATTAAGACTTCTTAACCCAGACATTGCATGCTTTTGCTTAGTTTTGGATTCATGTTTTGATGTTTAATTTTTCGATGTGTTAATGTAGCCTTGTTTGAGTGAATAAAACGGTTCACAGTTTCAGGTTTTCTTCCAGGGGGAGGGTGGAATTCTCATCTGCTTGTTGGGGGAAAAGACCTGCCGGGCTCTGGGCTTGGATATGCATAAGCACCACGACCTTAGAGAGCAGTTCTTCTGAGCACCTCGTAGTTTACAGATTCCGTATACTGCCACGTACAAAACTGTTTGTTCCTGCTTCCCCCCATTCTGCATTTTAACTGACCCGTACAACTCTGTAGCTTATTTTAATACTGTTGTACTAACTTTCTCTAAATTGTGAATAACCAACTGAATTATTAGCATGCCAAATTCTAGAGATCTTTGAAAAATAGCCTCTGTGCTTGTTTTAATAACAGAATGCTTATTAACGTAGAATAACTATTTTTTATGGTTGTTGTTTTAAAGAGCGTCTATTAATCTGACTAGCAGCTTGCTTTGCCTCTTGACATGCTCACTCGCCATCATGCTCACCCTTCTCTTCCAGATCCACTTCCTCATGATACTGTCTTCTAACTGGGCCTACTTAAAGGATGCAAGCAAAATGCAGGCCTACCAAGATATCAAAGCAAAAGAAGAGCAGGAGCTTCAGGATATCCAGTCTCGGTCAAAAGAGCAACTCAATTCTTACACATAAATGTTTGCCACAATAATTCAGCAGAAGAGTTCTGTAGCTCTGACAAATCAGCAAATAGCTGCTCTGCAGTACAGATGTGTGTCTAGCAAACAAAATTAGAGAGAAGTGTAAAAGCTTCACATTCCAGCTCCTGGAAAACTTTTTTAGGGAAATCGTCCCATTGGTAATCTTCCATCCTTTCTAAAAGAGACTGGAGGGTTTATTCCAGGCATTTTAAAAGGCAACACTTTACAAAAGTGACCAAATTATTCTTCTTTGAGACTTGGTGTTTAACATTTGACTTGTTTTGGAGCATGACGCCCTGCACAAGCCGGTGGCGGGTGCCCTGGCCGAGCAGGCAGTGATCTGTGCAGACCACAGGCAGTGCAGGGTGTGTGACTGAGCACTCCCAAAGGAACCCGTGCCCAGCTGGGATTCCTGAGAGAGAGGAGCTCCTCTGTGTGTGTGTGTGTGTGATGGCACAGCTGCAGCAGCTCCCAGGTGGTGCAGGGGGGCTGTTTGGGAGCACCCACACCTGGGCCATGGGAGCAGCTGCACTCCTGTGCCACACACTGCCACCACGAGGCATCCCTGTGCTCACCTGAGGGGCGAGCAGATCTCCCAAGTTCTAATCCTTTTATTAACTATTTAATGGAATGTAGATCCCTGGATCTGGATAATGATCCCCTTCTTTGAAAATAAATGTCAGCTTTGCCTTAATATTTATTTTCTATAAATGTTGTAGCATTTATATAGTGGCAGGAGACCATTATCCTACATTTTAAGTAAATGAAAGTGTTACCTTATTAAAATGACACTGATCTGACAATTCCAAATGAGCGGATGAGAAAGTTTGCAGAGTTTTACACAAACAATAAAATTTGCAGCCATAAAAATAATACAGGATGTCCACCTTTCTCTATCTTGGTGCTTAGCAAATTTATAGTCAGTGCTTATGTGTTTTCCTTTTTACAAATTAATTAGCACACTAAGAAAACGTGGTGTTCAGAAAAAAAAAACCAACAAACAAACTGGTGCCATTTTAAAGTCATTTCCCATAGAAGTCTGCCTTCTAATTAATGTTTTTTTTCAGAAGCATTCAGTGATATCTTGAGTATTAGTGATGGTATATTTGGTGTTTGTTCTATATGATATATATATATATATATATATAAATGTTGGGGGGGAAAAGTAAAAATACATCATTCATTTGAAAAAATTAAATATTCAAGTCATACCCCTGCTAAGCTGACGTGTGGTTTGGTAGTTTTGACTGTTTGCTGAATATACATCAAAGGAAGCACAAATTCCTTCAAATCAGTATTAAGAGAAAAGGCATTTTTTGGGGGGTATTAACTTCAAATATAATTTCTTTTGTTAACTATTGAAGTCTAATTTGACAGTTTCAAAAAAGGGGCAAAGTTGATTGATGTAGAGCAAATATGACAAAATAGCCTAGTGTATGTTCTTACCTGTTGCATGAAGGAGACATTTCTACAGCAATGCAGGTGATGTTCTAGCCCAGTGTTTGCATAAGGGTAATAATGGAGGCAGTGTCTTAAAGCCTAATTCTTTTCTAATTCAGTGTAGCTATTACTGGGAGTTTTTGAAGTTTTGTTTAAGTAGTCTAATATTTTTATGTAAAGAGCATTAAATTTTGCTATGTATAAATTTTTGTAACCTAACAGTGAATCAATATTTTCTATCAGTGCCAAGGGCTTCCTGTAGTTACATCCAAGTGTTAAAATAAATATTTGTAGATAATAGACAACACTTGTGTATGCTTATTTGAACCCAGACCTACAGCTACTCCATGGCAGTGCATCTCTAGGCTTTATGTCTCTATCTGAGGTGAAACACGTTCTGTTCCAGAGCTCCCTGCCCTCCTGCATGGGCAGGGCAGCTCTGCAGGTGCAGCTGCAGCAGCAGCTGTGTGCAGCATGCAGTAGTGGTAGTTGTTCCAGGCCAGCATAATGCAACAAGCACTACCCCTTCCCAACATCCAGAAATTCTCAATTCTCAGTCATTCAGAAATTCTGTAAAGGCCAGAGTGGCTGCAACAGCAAATTAAGCAGTATGCAAAATCAGAGTAACCACCACAGCACATTTTAGCTTCATTTCAAAAAGCAAAGCTTGTATCTGTCACAGTTTTGGTACATTGTGTTTAAACATCCAGCAAATTTAAGACAGAACTTTGGTTTTTTTGCCCCTAAATTCTGTCAAACTTGGCTTCATGTTCTCGTAGTTAGGTCAAGATGAGCAGCCTCAAATGCAGTGCAAGTTGTAATATATGCTGCCACCCAAACTTACTTCATTGATAAAAACTACTGTATTTTATACTGTAAATAAAGTTTAATGATCTTGCCTATAATCTACCTACAAAATACAAAGCTTAAATAAAGATGAGTTAAATAGCATTTTTATTTTAATCTCTCCATTCTGGGCTGGTTAATACCAACGAGGTGATACATGAGAGGGGCTGCTTTTGAAAGTGGCTCCTGCCCCTGCTGTGCAGCAGAAGGGACACCTTATTTTGGGTCTGTCACACTCAGTGCTCCAAAGCTGTGTGAGCCAAGTGCCTCCACGGGACACCTTTAAATCAGGTGATGATGAGGGAATTTTTTCTTCCTTTCATCCACACTTTGAACCATTTGCAGAAGGGATTGGGGGGCGGGGGTTGGCCAAATTGACAAAGTTTAGAGGAATTCAGTGCCAACACAAATCTACCCAAACATACCGATCAGTTTCTGTTCCCTGCTTTGTTCTTTCTCTCACCCCACCCAAGGGCTTCCTCCTGGATTAGTAACACACCAGGACTCCCTGTTTGAAATGAATGACTGAAGTGACGAAACAGATCAAAATCAGCTTTATTAATTTATAATTACACAGCCTGCAGTGTTGGTGCCCTAACATTTATTAAAGGCACAAAACAACTTAAAAAATATCTTTCTCTTAACAATAATAATAAAAATTAAAAAATCAGTAGTTATTGTTCACCAGAAGCTTTCATCCACGTCTCCATGAGAAATGTCTGCAAGACTATATTGATTATAGGAGGGAGGAAAATAAAGTGGTATGAATTAATGTCGTTGATCTTAAATCTTAAGTTCTGTTTTAAAATGAGTATTAAGAGACTGCCTTTGCTGTTTCAGTGAACTGCTGGCAATAAAACCAACCCTAAATCAGGAGAATTTGGGCCTTCATTAACTGAAAGGCATCACCTCAAAAAGCAGAATGAACTTCTGTAGTGCTCACCAAGTGAAAACAACACAACTGGTGCCAATTCAGGAGCAGCAGGGTAGGGTCTGTTATGTTTAACAGCACAGACAATATTGAATCATTACTATGGTTATAGTGAACCTTTATGGTTTTTTTTCCTAATTGCTCCATATTTATTTTTTGCTTATTTTCAATTCCACTGAAAGATTTGGAGGAGGATTGTTTGGTTTTTCTCTCGCAAGCAACTAAAACATTAATCTGTATTTATCAATGCCTAGATAAAACCAGAGGAAACGCCTGGGTTGTTGTGACTCAGTGCAGGCAGACAAAATCTCTGAATGAAGCATCTTAAAAATCCACAATGCTACTGAAAAATCAAAGCTAGGAACAGACTATGGTGAGGTGCAGCAGAGACAAATCTTTACCCAGGGTGTCATCACCCAAGAACAATCCCTCAAACTCCAGCTCTCTGAAAAAGCTGTGAGTGCCACAACTACTGAAACAGATCATAAAGTGCAGCTCTCAGATGTGAGCTACATACAGTGCTTAACTTGCATGTACAAGAATTGGAAGGATCCTTAATTTTTCTGACACAATTGCTTTTGATTAATAATTTATTTGGTTTTCTAAGTAGACAGATGTCTTTTAACATAATTCATACTAAATCTATTAAAACTATATATTAGTTATTATTATTATTATTATTATTATTATTATTATTATTATTTAATATGGAGTACTAAAAGTGATTAATGCATGGCCCTTACCTGTCATCATTTTCAGTAGATAGAAGTCCTTCTGAGGGTGACCCTTCTCTTATTTCTTCTTTTTTTGAATCCTGGTAACCAAGAGGAAAATACACTTTCTCTAACCAGTTCTAATGTCAAAGTGATCTAATAATAGTATCTACATTTTTAAGGCTCATAACTGAAAATAAAAATATTCCAAAGGACCAGCCCTATTTCTACAAATGCTACACTGGATCTAGAATAGTAACACTTAGGAAATTTAGACTGGGATCATGTCTGAACAAAAGCATCCTGCATTCCTTCATTGAAGTCATGTCCACCCATACCTCTTCTTTAACAATCCAATTTTCCATTTTGCCAGAATAAATTCTGTTGTGTTAGAGGAACACAACTTGACATGTGTAGCTTCAAACTGTATTTAAACACAGTTTAAGCTAAAAATTGAGGACTTTAAAATATTGTCCTAGAACATTAAAAACCAAGCTAACAAATCCCCCACCCAGAGGACACCAGTAACCCTTACAGAACAAAATTTTCTGTGTTTTTTCTTTTGGATCATCACACTTTTCCAATACACTCTGCTCTGCAGATTGCTACATAAAGTTTGTAAGTGAAGAAAAAATTAAATGTGAAAATTGTTTTCATTCTAAGCATGCCTAGCAAGACACAAATTTGGTCAATAATATTTTTGGGACCGTGTTTTGAGAATAATCACCTTGTTTGCCAGTTCCTGCTCTCTGCTCTGCTGAATTATTCTCATGTATTTTTCTAATGGATTGGAAGGAGGATCCTTTACATTATTTTCAGCAGCAGTGCTACCATGGTCAGATTTTACTCCCTCTTTGTCTTCTATTTCTTCATCTGTTTTCATTGAGTCTTGGATATGCTTTAAGACACAAAAATAAAAATAAATACTGATTAGAAAAATACATTTCTGCCTTACTACCTGCAATACATGCAGAATTTCCTCTTAAACTCAGTAAAACAGACCAGTCTAAACAGTATTAAACAGGACCTAAAAATCCAGAACACTAAACACTGAGTGTTTAAGCTCAAAGGGATTTAAGTAAACTCAAGATCTCCTTATACCCTCTGCTTCCCAGAGTACCCTGGAAGTCCTGACAGATGGACATGAACATATTTTGGTGGTGTCCCCACCTGCAGTGGCCACACCACAGAGACAGCAAATGTTCAGCTTGTTCCAACAGCATGGTGTCAGTGGCCATTAAATTGTAGCTTCCAGTTACATGAGGCAGGGAAGGAAAGGCATCTGTTTCCAGTGAAAAAGCCACTTGGCATAAGGAGACACTCTAGTGAGACTGGTTAATCACAAAAGTACATGAAATAACTTAGCCTCTACTACTTTCACTTTATGGAATAAAAATCTACTTTTAACCAAGTAACAACAACCCTAAAATGCAAGCCACTACAAGGCTGCATCACTGTCAGAAATTAAACTACTACCTCTTCATTAAGCTTCTCCACTTCTTTTTGCTCGTTTTCCAAAGTTTCCTGTTGTTCTTTCTCTTTCCTTTCTTCTCCTGCTTTCCTTTCTTCTTCTAAGTTTTGCTCAACTTCTCTGTTCTGTTCTTCAATCTGCCTTTGATCCAGCACTGCTGTGAAAAATTATTTCAACATCTGTAATTTGATTTATGTAGTTCAGTAATCATTACAAGAGCATATAAATCAGTACCAGGTTCCTGTATAATGTTAACAGCAAATGAAAACCAACTGCATATACTGTTTGTACATACACTGAACTTACTCTTGGGTATGGGCTAATGTGTTTTCCCACCTCCAAACATTTCCTAGTCTGATAAATGACTCACCAAGAGTTAAAGAGTAGAGCCAAAGTACAGGCCAGAGATTTGACAGATTTGTGCACTTCTCATTCCTTTCCTGGCTATTATTAAACAAACCTTTATTATCCCAAAGTCCATGTTACTGTACTCTTTCCACCTCTGCAATGTAGTTGGATACAATTCTTTATATTTATAAAGCAAAGTATTTAAAACCCCTTGGAAAATTATTGCAGGACACTGATATGACCAATATATTTAAAAATCTGTGTACAAATAACAGCATTGGATAGCAATGAGATGGGCAAACTAAGGACTGGGAATCATGAGAAGCTAGAAAATCCTTCTCTAAAATAAAAAGAACCACAATGTTTGCATCTAGAACAGTTAGAAAAGCAGAATATGCTGACTATATATGAGATATTATTCTCATCTAGTCAAAGAATTAAAACTGCATTGTGATAATAAAGTTCACCAACAGAGTCAAGAATAATTTTTTTAAAATCCAGACAAGCAGTACATAAAATTCTTCAAAACATTTAATGTCTCATTCCTATCAAGAGCAGAAATTATATTTAATAATTACCCTAATGAAAAAATAAATCATCTCACAAGAGGCTGGATGGGCGGGTGGGATGGGTGGCAAGAATGTTTAAATTAAAAGCAAATTTAACTAAAGCCAGGATGAAAAATGTCATCCTCATACAAAAAAAAAAACAAACAAAGGAAAATACTGTTTCTCCTTATTACAGAAATGGCACTTTCTGAAAAATTTTTCAACCACACCAGCCTACATACCTACAGACTCTTAAATATTTGTCTTTCTGTGTTACACATTTGACATTTAAAAGGGTACTTTCTTTTGTGTCTGAACTCACTCAAGTCCTGCAGTGAAGTGGCTGCTGCTGGCACAGGGGCTGTGACACAGTTTCCATCCACAATGTCCCCAGATGGATGCAAGACATCACTTTCACACTCCTCTGGTATGTCCCCCTGATCTGGAGAAGAAATGTGAACAATGGCTTCATTATTTTGTAATTGCAAAAGTGGAGCACAGCAATGGACAGAGTGTGGGAATGGCTAAATTAGAACACAAAAATATCAGCACTAATTGAGCATTTTCCCTTCAACTTGATCATCTCCCTGAGAATTAAGAATTATCATAGGCTGTACTTGCTTCCTTAATTACAGAATTGTTAGTTTTGAAATTAGCTATTGGAACACATTTGTTTATAAAGCCAAAACTGTAGAAATATACAACAGAAACCCAAGATGTTTTCATTTCTTTGCAAAATCAAGATACAAGTAACAGAAAAATTGTCTATCCAAGTTCAGCTCATAGTTTTTATGCGTATAAAAATAATCTTTAACTATCTGGTCACACACTTTTTAATGGGGTCTTTGCCTTCTTCAGTGCACAGGATGGATGCTGCTAACTCAGACATTCTACATTATACTATCTTTTCCCTGTGCAATGTTGGCTCTCAATTCACAAAACCACAATTAGTGTCCTTCCTCTTTGATCACTGCTGTGATACTGAACTGCTTTTAAATTACTGATTTGCAAATATGCAGACTGCTATTACCTCACTTGATGGGAGACAGAAAAAAAGAGCTAAAACAAGATGTGGGTATTATCTCTAGATAGCCAACCTGAAATACACAGGACTATTCTCCCAAGCACTTGGTGTAACATAGCACAGATACTCTATATATCTCTAGGTTTTGGGTAAAGCTTTAGAAAACATCAATTTTCATCCTTCATATACTAGCAATGTCTCAAACTTTTCTTTTTCACATAATAATAAAACTGAAATATTTTACATGAAAAAACCCAAGTCAACCAAACTGATCAGCCTCTTTCTCTCTGAACTCTCTGAAAAATTGTCTCTCTAAATTTCTTTAAATTAAAACTCTTTTAGAAGAACTGTAGATGAAAGCATAACAGAAAATTTCTGTCAAGCTGTCATTCTAAGTTAGGAGAATGTTTTCAGTTTCTTACCAAAGCAAGAGGAATTCCTACCTGCTTCACCTAGGAAAATAAATTCTATATATGGGCAGTTTTGTAAGACCAAAATAATGGGCTATCACACTCAAAAGAAAATCTATTCTGTTTTGTTGCTCTCTCTTAATTATAAAACTATCAACAACAACATTATTTCCATATGAGGCACCAATAAGCATCAGGTGTATTTACATTTAAAAAAAAACTCCTTTCATAAACTTGTCCCAGTTAAATATTACTTCTAACTTCAAAATTACTGCTAACAACATAAACAAAAAAAGAAACCCAAACCAGAACCATTAATAGTAGAAAACATGTTAAATTAACTACTCTGCAAAGGAGAAAAAAGGTAATTCTGTACACTTCCACTCCCTTTTTAAGGGTAGACAGCAAGAGATGCATTATTCCCTTAAGCACAGCACCCAGAAACAGCTGCTGCCAAAATAATCTGCTGATCTTTTCTTTCTAGAACTCACTCACAGTAGGACTAAAATATTTCCGTATTTTCTGGTATCTCCTTTAAGTCACTGATTTTTTTTACTGTTATCAACTTCATCCTTCACTAAATCTTTTTCTGTACTTACTTCTTAGATTTTACTTTCTTACCCACCTCTCCCTGCAATTTCTCCTGAGCCACCTCCTTTCCTTTTCAGCCAATCTGATTTCCTCCTATATACTGAGATTGCCTTTTGATGTAGGCTCACCCAGCTAAAGTACTGCTGATTGAGAAATCATCAGCATTTGTGAACTCTTTCAGACTGACCACCACACATCAGCAAATGATTCATTAGCACCTTACCTGGGCACAGCATCTACTCTGCCCTAATTGCCAAGAAAATGCCAGTCTGTTGTCATATGTAATAAAATAAAAATGAAATATGTAATGTATTCCCAAAAGTCTCCCATACAAAATTTAACAAATAAATATAAGTCTAATTAAAATGTGAGATGAGTAGAAACCATTAGTGGCTACAGGCTTGGTTCATATTCAAATAATGCATTTAAAGCTTATAAAAGAAATAAATGAGAGAAATCAAACCAGCTGAGTAATGAGTAAAGCTTCACAGAGAAATGCACAGATGAGGCATTATCTTCTGCCAGTTATCACTAAACACTATCAGCACATCTGCTATTTAAACAAAAATCTTTTTTGGTTGCTTGCTTTTAAAGTACTGAAAGCCATATTCCATAGGGACAGGAGAGTGAGCAAGGGCTCCACTCCATCTTCCATATGATCTAACCACAGCCAAAAGAATAAGCCAGTCTGAAAACATTGACACCAGACAGAATCACTGGTTTCAATGAAAATACCCCTGACTCTCCCAGCAACAACCACAATCTCTTCACCACCTATGAGTTGAGTTACACCACACAATGCCACATGTCCACCAAGCCTCAGGACTTTACAGACCTCATGAAATCTGCAAATAGGAAGGGTTACCTGGCTGTTCACATCTTCCTCATTGACAACTTCATTTACTTTAAACTCACAGTTTCATGGGAGATAAGGCTGCTAAGGTTCAATATTAGGATGTCACTCAAAACTAAGTAAGGTCTGTAACTGCTTCCATTTCTCACTCCATACACAAATGGCTATAAAGGACACCAAGTTTGATTACTCTCTTCTTTCTACACTACCTTAGTTACATCAAAGATTTCTGAAAATCGACCCTGCAGCATACAGAGAGAAGAAAATATTTTATAGCCTGCAATCAACAGAGAGAAGAAATGCAATTAAATGGAGTACTGACCTCAGAGAAAAAAAAAGGAACAAAATTCAGGTTTCAGTAACTGAACCACATGTTCCAAAACTACTCAGAGATGCTGATTAACTGCATAAGAGTTCCTTTGATTAACTGCAACAGTTCTTTCTTCCCACATTTACATGCAGCCTAAAGCAACTTCTAATTCATACTACTATTTAAGCCTCAGTTACTGAAGGAAGAATCAAGAGTGCATGCAATAGCTACAGAAACCTATCTTTAGACTTATAACCTGGTTCTAATTTATGCAGCAAATATAATAAAGCCTCAATTTAGTTCACATACTAATACACTTTTCTGTTTAAAAAAAATTCTACACCATTTAAAAACATTCCAAAGCAACCATCAGACCTACAGTATTAATCAGAACAAGGTTATGCAAGATTTCTGAACAAATTTATGTTACAAATTTCAGAACCAACTCAATTTAATGTCTGCTTATTACTATATACATTTACCTAAAGATGCAAGAATGAAGAAATTTAATACCCCATCATCTGAGACATTGGTTTTCCCTAATTCCAAAATCAATCAGAAATTTTTCTCTCCAACTACAGTCTTAAAACTATGAAGACAGTTATCCTATACTGTTAACCCCTAAGGTGTTAAACAAACTGTCTGAAATGCACTAAAACTTACCTTCAAGAGTGGAAATGTGTTCTTCAAGATCCTCATACCTTAGTTTCTCTGGTTTGTGAATATCACTGAGATCTTGTTTATCGGTCTGTTGACTCTGAAGCCTGAAAAAAATAAGGAAGAATATAAATAAATTAATAAATATAAATGCTGAACTTCTAAGCAAATAGTCATCTGAAATTCACTCACATGCTAAGCAACAGGCTAAACCAAACCTAAAATCCATGAAACTTTCTGACTCAAATTTATGGTATTCAATCCACTTCTCTAACTTTTACCACAAGTCCACTGCATTTCCCTCCAGCCTTTACCCAAGGTCTTTACATGACATTTTATTACATTAAAACAAAATAAAAAGACTAAGAAAAAAGGTAAAAAAGGAGAAATACAATGAATTGTGACAGTCAACTGAAACTAAGAAATTTGCCTCTTTAAGCTTTGTGTTACAGTTTAATTTCCATTTTGATGTCATCTTAACAGATGTGTTGGAAATGTATTAGGATTAGATGTCTGGCAAAACAAGAGATGCAGGGGTGAAAATCTGGGTTCTATCAAAATGGGGTTAGTGCCCTCATTCTAAATCCCCGTTTATCTCATCACAAAGATAATGTGAAAGAACAATGTCTCCCACGTGACCCAGCTACTAAACTCTGACCAGAGCCAGAACAGCAAAAGGAGTGCAGGCCACTAATGAAATTCAGCATCAGCACTTCATAAAGGAGCTTACTTCACACCAGCTGGTGCCCTTCATCACAGACTGTTTGTGCTTACAATTTCTAAGGAATACAGGTCTTCCATGGGGCAAAAGTGGAGAACAAACAATACAAACAATACCAAACATACCCCCAACAATGAGATTTGTTCATAAGCAAAAAGTGAATCTGGGCACAGACAAATAAATCTGCATTGCCAAAAGGATAGTTCAGTGATGTCAGTGGGGAAAAATACCCTGTAAATTAAAGAGGACAGAGTAAATGAAATTTCAAGTTTTGGAAACCTATTTCATGTTTTGAGTCTTTCCTTCACAGAAATGGTTAAGTGCTAAATAATTCTCAAGGGTGTGAAGTTCAAGGACATGCATGTCACTTTCTTCAATACTGTGTCCTGCAACACTGCTAGAAAGACAGAGAACCCACTGCCTCAGCAACAACCCTCAACTGGTTTCTTCAGGCCTAAACAAACAAACAAACAAAAAATTAGGTAATAATCTGCCTTATCACTTAGTCTTCCTGTCTGTGCTTACTGGTTTCCTTCATACCACTCATATCTTGTAGCATAAATAAACAAGGACCTCCTGTAGTTGCAGAAGCAATTGTTCTTCCCCACTGACTGAGCTCTGACTTCTAACAGCTTGTCACGGATGTTACAGCATCACATTCGCTTCTCTTGCCTTTTCAAAGAAGGTCCCATTGCCACTTAAAATCTACAGGTCATAAACTAATCCCACAGTACACATCAGTGATGTGGCATTTGCCTAATAATAGGAGTAAATAACTGGAAAAGCCCACACATGCATTTCTCAAATATTTCATGTAAGAGAAAACAGTCCGAGGCACATGAAATGAGAAAATACGCAACAAAAGAATGTTTTTCCTTTGAGAAAGTCTTGGGAAAGCAGCAAGTTCAAGACAATTACTGGGACCTTATACCCTTGCTTTGTCATAAACCCAAGAAAGCAACAACAAACTATAGCTGCCTTCCCAGACCCAGGTCTGTCCTCTGCAACACAACTTGCTCATACTGTTCACTCTCCAAGCAGGATAGAGTCTGCAAAATCCTTCAAAGTGCAGTCCCTCAAAGGATTAGAGCACTTTCCCCTATCACCTTAACATGCAGGTTAACATTCAACCTCCACTTTTTAAGGTCTGTCAGAGAAGTACAAGAAATCTGAGGTATAACACAGAAAATGTGAATGGGTCGGGAAAGAAGACACAGCCTCAAGGGAATACTTAAAGGAAACTGACCTCACAGGCCCTAAATATCCCAACAGCTCATTTTGCAAACAAAAAACATAAAAGCTCTTCCAAAATAACCAGATATTCTCTCTGCATTAAATGTATGTTGAGGCACTGATAAAAGAAAAGAAAAGCCTACAAATGCCTGCTAGAGCTGCCCCAGCACAAGCTGTCTTTCTTCAGCCACCAAATCACGAATGATGGCTAGCAGGCTAAAGACAATTCAGCTGTCTCTTCTATGGAAAAAAATCTTAAAAGTTAAATCCTAGAGCTGCTTCTGAAGGCACATATTCACAATTCTTAGGTTTGGAGAGTGGAGGCAACACTGGCCATTTAGACCAGAAGAACTCCAGACATGGAAATAGGAGATACAGAGACGGAAGAGAAGCCATTTTAATGCAGCCTAATTTTGTCAAGTTATTCATTTACCTTTAAAAGATCTTAAAAAAAAAAACAAAAAAACAAGAAAAGTGAAGAGCTGTGCTACCCATCCCATTCCCACATGCAAAGGAGACTGGAAAATCCTACTTTGAAAACAGGCACATGAACAAGCTCTTTCAGAGAGAGAAAAGAAGTAATAAATTCAGCATTACAGCTTGTTAATGAATGAAATGAGAATGTAGAATTGCCTTGATTTAAATTCTCAAACAGGAAGCAGAAATTCAAATGCTTCAATTAGCAAAAGCTCATCAGTCAGGTCACAGATGTGAAAAATAGAGACAATAAAGAGACATGGCTTTGCTCAGAGTAAAGCGTTTCAGTTTTTTTATAACTAGGTTCCACTTGAGGCATGATATTTAAAATGGAAATCCTTATTCATCTTTAGAAAAGTTTTCACTTATAAAATCAATGGCTTGCTTGATTTGTAAAAGCAGCTACCACTGTGAGCAATTAGATAAATGTTTCTTTAAAAAGCAGGTTAAAATGTTGCTTTGTAAACAATGTTACCTGATTTTCTGGCCATGACTGGATGGCGAGGAAGGAACAGACTCAGAAGATGAAAGCAAACATCGCTTTGAAATAGGAGAAAGAACCTGGTCAACACTCTGCTGTGAAGAGGTAAAGGATGAGCTCTTGATGCTCTCTGCAGAATAAAAATTCCACAATTTGTATTAGCTAACTGTGCTACTATTTCTCAGACAAGGTTGTACAACACATGCATTATTGGTTCAATGTGCACGGACCTAGGAAGGAAAACAGTCATATGCATGAGCTAGTTTAAAGGAAAATAAAAAACTGCATAATCCTTGTACTTGCAGATTATGCAGCAGAACAGCTGTTGGATCTGCAACTGTAAGTATTTTAGAGGAGAACATACTTCTTTCATTCTCCATTCTCCAGAGACAGGTGCTGACAACTGAGCTGCACTTAACCTCACTTAAAGGAAACACCAATCTCAGACTCATATGCATGGTATCTTCTACCTCTTTAAATTTACCCTGAGTTGTTCAGACTGGTATTTTCAACAGCACCCAAAAGCTCCACAGAAGCTTCCAGAATGACTTAAGAGTTTTCTAGCAAAACCACACCTGGTGCTTCACCTATCTTTAGCAGAAAAGAATACACATACACCACTATAAAAGCATTCCTCAGAAGACTCATGAGGGTGAAGTGACATCTCAGTGGGGAAGCAATCTAAGTGGGAGCTGACAAATCCCACTAACAGCATTTAACCTAACCTTAATATCCTCTCACCCAGCTTCAGCCTGGTTTCCTACACTCCACACCACTCCATTTCTGTAACTCCTGAGTCAGGTAATGCACTCCTTTGTTATTCAATTCTTACCCCTCTCCAGACCAGTCAGTTTTGTGCATTAAGCAAAGAACAGATCCAATGGAAAAAAAAGAGATCTACCATCCTGTAACTAGTTTCTGAAAAGTACAAAGACAGGACACATTGTTCAGGTTATGCACACAACTATAGTTTTAACATTTCATAATTTTCAACAAAACTCTAGTGTTATGAAAGATTTTGTCTGTGTGCAATGCTAAACAAATAGTCTGTGAGTATTTTATATAGAAGCTGACAGAGAGAACTTACAACATGGAAAATTGCTTTGGAAGTTGAAGTCTCAAAGACGTTTTTAGTAACATCTAAGAGTATGATACTCTACATGCAGAAACACAGGGACAGCCACAATCAATCAGTGTTTGTAACCTGTTTCTAACAGTGCCCACTACCAAAGAAAACTAAACTAAAATTGAAAAAGGAGAATACTTGTATCTTACTGCTGGCAATACCCATCCCAATCTTTCTCCAATCAATACTTTTTTGGATCATCCTGACAGAGAAGTTGCATTCCTGCATCTGTGCTTGTTCTCACAGAAGCAATAAATTACACAGCTTACTCGTGGTATGAAAAAGTGTTTATTTCCTTTCAATGTCAGGGGATTCTGGGGTCTGTGAAACAGTACTCAGTTGATCCCTTTTCACCTTTTTCACATTGCTCATTGTTTTCCAGATTTCCCACAGCCACCCTTCTTTCAAACTAAGCTGCCCTTGTATTTAACCTTCCTTCATGGAGCAGTTGATCATTATCTTTTTTTTGTTACTGTTTCTTTTTTTAATTGTATTAAATCTACTTTAAGCCAGGGTGAAAATAATTGTGTCACTCAAGAAGCAGATGTACTGCAGATTTGAAAAAACAGATTGTTTTTTTACATTTTGTTTCTATTTTGCTTGCTTTTCTAAATACTGTCCTTAAAAAAAAAAAGCCTAAGCAATTACTAGAAACTGTGATATTAATAGCAAATGAAAATTTTTCAAAACTAGATCCTTCCTCCTTACAATTGCTGAGGAGTATTTTATAAAGATGTCACACAAAAAGAACAAACAAAAGGAAATCTGGACCTTTCAGACTGGAAAGCTCGATTTAAGAGAAGCTAAAGACATCTTCTGCCACACACTTTAACTACAACAGTTAAATGAAAGATTAGAAATATAGGAGGGTAAGAAACTACAATTAATGTTGAAAGCTTTACTTAATAGCAAGTTTTGAATTAAACTCTGTATATCATAAAGTTACACCTGTAGGGATTTATATGGTGTAGTCTTCTCTTGAAAGCTCCCTATAGTATGTTGAGGGACTGTAAACATGCTTCTCCAGTACTTGTTTCCAGGAAGAAGCAATACTCCAAGCAGCTGGTATATTCTGTTTCCTGAAAAACCACATCTCCTGACTTCTCCTGCATCTTAGCAATTAACGAGTCCATGACTAACACTGCTAAATCTTTCTGTTCCCAGAGCACAAGAGGAACAGTAAGCAAAACCCATTACTGCACCCCATTAACAATTGAGACTTACCATCTGGAATTTTCTTGTTACTGAGGTCTTTCTTTGGTTTGGAAATGGGAGTGGAAGAAAGGCGCCTGGAAGATGCTCCTCTGCGTGGTGGCGTGAAGGAAGTTTCATAGATATCGACCTGCCCAGTTCTTTTGATGTTGTCCTCACCTCTGGGACTGCCCAGAGGGGAATGTGGGCAGCTGGGATTATGCTCTAGCAGTTCCTGCTGGGCACTCAAAGGGTTGCTACCAAGAGGACACTGCAGAATTAAAGGAGGCTGCATCTTGCTTGGTGTTCTGCTGGCAGCTGCACTCAGCATGACTCTGTGCTGGTAACTCCTGTAGGCTTCCTCCAAGAACTCGGCCTCCTTCTCCAGCTCCTTCACCCTGGCGCGGGCCTGCGCGATGCACTCCAGGTCAGAGTCCGGGGAGGCGCCGCGCGGCCCTGGCACGGCGCTGGCTGTCCCCACATCAGACAGGGGCAGCTGCAGGTGACAGCCAGGCCCTGGCACGGTGCTGGCCATCCCCACATTGGGCAGGAGTGGCTTCCTCGGGAATGCACCATCCACGTAAATGTCGTGGGGCACCAGCCTGTCCCCCGCCCTGTCTCCCAGGAAGTCGAGGACGGAGCGGTCGACAAGCGACGGCTTTGGGTTCCGATACACCTCATTCTCCAGAGCTAAACGGCAGCAAGAGCAATAAGTGACACTAAAGCAGGGAGGGAGACCCACAGCAAAGCAAAAATAGTAAAACATGGCATTTAAATTCCAATTTGATCAAAATTATTCTACCACGCAATTGGCTTACATTTCGAGAATTTAATGGTTTAATTGTAATTGATTTAATGTATTTTTAATGCAGCTTCAAAGCTGCAAAATACTGCTATTCTTAAAATATATAATTCTTGCACTTAAAACCACCATTAATTTAAAAAATAACATTGTAGAGTACATGGCTATGTTTAAGTAAATAAACAAACATGAAAACATTACCACTTTAGACACGTTAGATCTTATCATGCTGGTAAAGTCTAAGGAACACAGGGCATGCCACAAGTCTTAACAGTTTCCCTTTATTTAAATCAAAAGGTAATTTTGGAGAAAAACAACACATTACATACAAAATGGTTTGTTCTGTTTGTTTTTTTTTTCATTAAAAGTACTCTAAAATTGTCAGTTAAACTGAATGTTTTGGGGCAGTCAGCTTCCATACACTTCCATGCTTCAACAAGCCCAAAAAACCAATCTGCTGTATCTTTCAGCAAATTTACAGCCTTTTTTTTATTCTACACAAATGGTTCTTCAATTACTTCATTAACTCTGATGTAAAATGAACGTTCTTACAGCACCTTCAGTCATTTAATTAAACTATATATTTGCTATTTTCATATAACAAATTTCCAATTCCAAATGGTACCAATAAGCGTACCATAAATGTACGTGTAAGTCTAGTGAATATATGAAATGTAAAATATTGCATATACTGAGCTATGAGACATGTATGTAATATATAATCATTGCAGAATTGAATTCCATATTTGTACATTAAATATGCATACTAACCCTTATATTTATAATACTTGATATTAACAAACTGACAGGCATCTTTAAAGAACATTTCTTCAGCAGACTGAATTGCTTTCTGTAAGTGCCCATGTTTCTAATGCTCTTAGATAAGTTAAGCATAAGTTAGGCAAAAGTTATTAGACTAAAACTGTTTAAGAGTTAGACCTAAATTTCTGAGGTACAAAACAAAATTTCAAACTGATTATTTTTATTATGAACATTCAAGAATCAAAACACATTAAAACACAAATTGCCTGCTGGAAAATGTTGTTTATGTTACCAGCAAACATTAATGGCCTTATACTGAGGAAAAACAGACAATGAAAATGTGCAAATGCTCAGGGAGGAGTATTTTTCTTCCTCTGCCAGGTTTGTTTTCTGAAAGCAGGTTAAAATGAGTCTTCTTTTTTTAAACTGGGCTTTAAATACATTTTGATTTTAAACTTTAAAACTTACTCCCTGGTGATGTGCTGGCTCTACACAACTGCAGTCTTTTTAAGCTTCTGGAACTTTTTTCATTTGTCCTTCATAAAGGACTGCTCTGATGTAAGATACAAACCTGCCTGTGTTTGCTTCACTTGCAGTTTCAGCTCTTCAACCTGCATATTTAACTTCCTGACAGTAGCTTCAGAGTCTAACAGTTGGGCCTTTAACTGGGCACAACGCTCAATCTATAGGAAATCAGGAGAAAAACAAAACCCATCATAATTCAAACAACATGAATAATCTCAACTAGCCGAATACTTGGTTTCTAAATGTTTTCCAGGTCCAGTCAGATCATACATACCTAGTATCCTACTGAAAGTCAGCACTGACAATTTGGTGACTTGGTAAGACTTGGTAATGTTGGGTTGGCTTTATTTTTGGTGTGGTGATATTTTGTTTTCTTTAGAGGTAGTTGTATATATAAAAATAAGCACTGTACAAACAACCCTTGTAACTGCATGCCAAATGGCCTGCACAGGCAGATGGGTAATTGTGAAAGAGACGACAGGAAGAAGAAAAGATTCAAATCATTTTGAAAGAATAATTTACCTCACTTTGTAGCTGTTTTTCCAACATATGCTTATGACTTTCATATTCATCCAGCATCAATTTTGTAGAATGCTCAACTCTCCTCAGCTCCACTTGGCAGGCCAAGTACTCTGCTGAGGGCTGGGACAGCTCTACTCCAAAAGGGAAACACCAGACACTCAGACAAAGAATAACAAGGGTGCACTTTGCTACATGATACCCCATGAACGTGTAAAGCTGATTTGATTTTAGGAATGTAACAAGGCTTTGTCTGAATAAGTACTTGGAGATATTTTTCTTCTTCCTTTTACAAAGGACAAAAATCTTCATTGGTGTAGTCCTTTAAGAACTAGACCCAGACTATCCTACACTGGAAGAAAAATACATATCCTTATCTTACATAACTGCACACACATCTCTACTCTCCTGTAACCTGAAGTATTTTTAATGCACATTAAAAATACTTTATTTACTACTTTAGTCAGGCAAGCACTTCAATAACAATGCCATGTTCTTTTACCATGATTAACCATACTCATGCAATGGTTAGAAATATTGCACTGCTTTTTTCAGAGGGTGAAAGGGATAGCCTTCCAAATTACAGCTACCACTTAATTCAGGATTTCCCCCATACAGACATAAAAAAGAAAATAAACTTATGCCAAGGACTGCTCATTAATATGTAAACACTAGTTTGGGTTTCATGCTAACTAATAGCAAATATAATACAAAGAAAGCATTTTAATGAAAATTTACTTCTAAACAAATATTTGTAGAGAAACATAAACAAGAAAATAACTAAATAATTCACACTGACTGTCTCGAAGATGCTGGTTCTCACTCCGAGTCTCATCCAACTGTTGCCTAAGTAGTTTATTCTGCACTTGGAGCTCCACTTTTTCCTCCTTTAGCAAAGGATAGTCTGATACCTCTTTCAGCTTTTCTGTCAACAAATTATTCTGTTTATTTACCAACAGAACCTGGGCCTTCACTGACTCCAAGTCCAGCTGCAGACAAAGAACAGTTTAGAAGCTTATGAACTGCTGTACTACTCAACAATTATTTTTATTTCACTTTTTTTTTATTTGTAACATACCTGAACTGCACCAATTAGAATACAGGCTTCTTTAAATTCATATTTACAATTACCTCAAGCTCTTTGGCACGTGATACAGCTTGCTTGAGTTCCTCCTTTTTTGAATTAACAGCAATGGCTTCTTCTTGCAAAAGCATAGCTTTCTCTGCAGGGAGGATTACAAATGCTGAATTAAAATTAGTAGAGTATTACAGTAAAAAACTGTATCAGCAGAAAACAGTTTTAAGCTGCTAAGCCCAAAATTCAATTTAAGACATAAAAAAGACTGTCATATACACGCCTTCAAAATTAACTAAATCATGCTGTATACACAAATGTATACACATGCATAAACACATTAAGAATTAAGTAAATCAAATTCATATGCCTGTGATACATCATTTCTTACACATCCCTAACTTTAAAGTCTAACCTTGTTATCTGTTCTGCTCTCTTCCACAAGCTCCAATTAAACATTTTGTGCACAAAAAATGTAGAAACTGGCAACTGTGCCAGCGTTCAGTTAAAGCCTGAATGAGCCAGCAGGACTTCCAAAGGAAATGGGACACTGAAAAACCAGGAATGCTTTGCAGCCTCGGAGTAAAGCAGCAGTTTATGATTCCCACTGCATTCTGAACAGCAACAAGTTGCTGAATGTCACCTGTTCTGATGGCTCTTCTGTCCCTTATACCACTGAACACCGGGACTGTTCAGGAACAGTTGTGGTTTGGTATATGACAGCTCTTGAAATAAACAGATACTTTATCAATCTCAGACAGATGGTTACCTTTATTTCTTTTCTCATCTTCAGTAACTTTATTGGTTCTGGCTATGTGTTCTTCTTTTAATTCAAGCTGGTATCTAGAAACAAAAAGGATTATGTACTCCCAAAGGATATGTGTGCACACATGGCACAGGCACTTGTGTTAACTCCATTCTTTGCCAAACTAAACTATAATTCCAGAATTATTTATTAACAAAATTAACTACCACAGAGCCACCAAAAGGGTTGTAAAGGGCCCTGCCAATCATCTCATTCCACCACCTCCTCAAAAAGCCAGATTATTGCCACCTGTACAGCAAGGCAGATGTGGCTCTTCCTAGCCAAGTCTTGAAATCCTCAAAGGACATATATTCAGCATCTCCCTGGATGATCTGTAGCAGTGCTGCACTACTCTCCCAGTAGATTTTTTCCTTATCTCCAAGCTAAATCTCCCAACCCACAACTTGCAGCCCCTTCCATATGAACTCAGAGGTCATACTTGAGAGTCCAACTCAAATGGACTATCCTGGCAGACTTTACCAAGCCCTTTCCAGTTTCTTCATGACCTTTTTGAACTGGGGAGCCCAAACCTGGGCATGGCATTCACAGCATGGTTTCCCCAGTACCTTTCAAGGGACAATAAGTTCCCTCAGTCTGCTGGCCATGCTGCTTCTAATCTTACCCATCATACTGTTTTGCCTTATTTGTCAGAGCATGCTGCTGGCTCATAATCAACCTGGCATTCACTGTAACTCACCCACCTCCTCTTCAGAAATGCAGCTCCTCAGTCAACTATTCTCTCCATTTATACAACCTCACAGGGCTATTCTGCCCCATGCACTGAGCTTTGCCATTTTCCTTGTTAAAATTCCGAAGATTTGCACTGGCACAATTCCCAACTTTGTCAAAATCTGCCTGAACTGAAACTCTGTCACTCATTTAGAAATGATTCCTCTTAATTAAGGGTCATGTTCAAAGCTGAGGATGCCCTGTGCCCATATCCAGATGAAGGTGTTGGACAGTAAGGGCCCCAGAACTGGCCCCAGGGATTCTGTGCACACCACCAGTCACCAGCCAGACTCTGAGCACTGCCCAGGTACACCACCATTCATAGCCCACTAGTTCTCCAACAGTGCCATTCCACTGAACTGGAATTTAGAGGAGGTAAGACTGCTCAGCATTCTACATGACCAGGACATAATTATAAATGGTTTCAGATACAGACAAATCCATCCTCCTGCATTTCTGCAAATGGTCCAGACCACTCAGATCCTTCTCCCATATATGGCATTTAATGTTTACTGCAAAAATAAAAAAATTTATTTGCTAGCAAGCATCACTACTTCTGTATAAGAAACAGTAGTCTTTAATACTTTTCATCAATGATTTGGGTCAAAAGGACATGGATTTTGTCTTTCTGCAGCATGCCTTAAAATATTGTGTATGTTGATAAAATAAGCAAAGCAGCAGTTTATCCTTAAATGTTTTGCTGCTCCTCATGTACTGAAAGGACTTTGCAACCACTATTTGTAACTAGCTGCAAGGTGAGTCAATTAGTTGCACTTCACTGGCCTCTAACAAAATCATCAAATGCCAAGGGATTATTTTTACCAAAGCCTGCTATCAACATCTTTGTTCTTTAATTTAAAGACCTAAAAACACAGGTAATACTGCTCACTGGCTTGCAATAAAAAGTAATGATTCATCAGTTGCTTGCTTTAACAGCCTAACTGAGACAGGTTCACAACATCCAAGAGCTCTTGTCTGCATTGAAATATCAAGGAACCCTTCAAGTGACCAAGGTACCACAAGGAAGTGCTATAGTAAAGTCAGGATATATCCACTGCAACACCCCACAAGAAGCCACAGATGACTGCCAATTCCTTAAGACCAGGTTCAGACAGAAGGTAACCAATAAGAGAGAGATTTATATCACAGAATCCCTCTTCAGAACTGGAAAGGGGCGAAGGTAAGAGCCAGTCTGTCTGTACAATGGGCTAGTATGCCTCTTGCCCCTTTTCCAAGAAACCTGTAACATTTCTTTAATGCTGATTTCCCCTTCATGCCTTTTCTGTATTCATAAAATGCTCACTTCTTTTAAGTGGTCAAAGGAAGTAACTGCTTCAGATCCTCTTGTCTAAATATACAAGCTAATGTCAGATGTCTTTTCCAGATACTGACACAGAATTTAAATTACAGCAACAATATAACCTATAACCAAAAGAGAATTATTTTCCATAGTAAACTTACTAGCAAATAGCTAAGCAGTAACATAAAAGATTCAATCTCACTAAAACAAAAACATAAGTGCACATTTTCAAAGTCCTTGCTTTGCTACACTCTTCAAAATAAATCCTACGGAATTTATGACTCTGTTTTCATAGGAAATATCATGTGTCCTATTAGAGACAAAAAAAATTTACTTTAAGAGCTCTGTCTTCAGCTTTTGGTCGTATGTCTCCTCTATGTTCTTCACAGCAACCTCACGACGCCGAAGTGCATCTTCTATAGCTTTATTTTTCTCCTCCTGAACTTTCTGGGTGCTGAAATATCCAGAAATATACACACAATGACCAGTTATAAAGTCAAAGTTTTAGTCTGGGATTCTGTTTCTTTTTCAAAATAACATTTACAGACATCAAAGGGCAACGTGCTTGTTTGGAATACTGTTGCAATTTGAAATCACCATCAGACTGCCACTGCAGTTCATTAAGAACATGGTGATGTGACAAAACTAAATTGCTCTATTTAAAATTCAGCAGCAATCAATTATGCAGCTATCCCGGGTTAACCCTGGCTCAGTTTCCCACAGCAAATACACTTCAGAGGAAAGAGCTGAATAGCTGGAATAGTTGAGCATGCTATTCTATCAGCACCCTCTGCTGGGTTGATAAAAAACCCCAAGTTTCTGTTAGCAGGATACTCACTTCACTATGAAAAACAGACGATAAAGTAACAACATTAAGTAGTATTGAAAGTTTGGCCAAAAATGGATTAGTTACTTCTTTTTTATTTAACTAAAGAAAACAGATCTTGCTAAGGACAAATAATAAAAAAAATTAATCCCAAAACATAGGAATAATAGCAAAATATTCATGTGTAGATCTTATGAGTGTTAGAGTTACATACTGTGTTGTTCGGGGTTTTGATTTTTTTAATTTAAGCACTTGAAGTAAATATCTAGTTCCTTGCCTGAAAAGCAATGCTAAACTATTTTGGTCGGATGAGGTGGAACAGAAAAAAACAGAAACATCTTTTTGTATGGGGAATCCCTGCTAATAGAGAGAGTATACAACACTGCTCAAAATGTAAAATTATGGGATATATAATCTACTTCAACATCACAGAAGCAGAAACATCTTGAGGCAAGTTTTGCAGAAGCATCATTTAGCATTGTACATATCCACACACCGTACATATCCATGAGCAACTTACATTTCAAATGCCTCCATCCTTTGCTTCAGTTCTGCCTCCCTGGTCCTTATGGCTTCAATATCTTTCAATAGACTTTGTCTCTGAGCGTACACTTCCTTTGCTTCTATCTGCATCACAAAACATCATCCTTAGTTTTGCTTCACTGTAAAACTTCATTTACTGTCTAACACACTCAAACTTCAAAGGATCTTCTTCAGGGACTGACTGATCTTACTCCCATAAATACTATTTATATAGTCCTTATATGAAATAATATCTGGAATAAATTTGAAGTATCTTTTTTTAATTCCATTTCTACTTTCACTCAGAGTAAAAACGTTCTAGATGGAGTCACTTCCGTCTACTCATAAACATCCTTCCTTTAAGAAATAGCACTGATTAAAACTTAAGTAATTTTTTTTTTTAATTGCAGGATAAACATGTTCAAACACTTGACTTTTTTTTAATAAACAAGTTTTGTATGTTCTTCACAAAACTGTAGCTGAAGAAACAAATACCAAAACCCACTGATAAAACATGACTTAAAACTAAAACTGAGTAAAAGAACAGCCTTTCAGTTTTTGCAGTTTAATTTATAGGACTCATAAAAAATTGTAAAAGGGATTCTCCAAGTGATGAACTTAGTAGCATCAAAATCCACATATCTTCATATTAATAAAAATGGCTATTTTGCCCTTAAGCACAAAAGACATTATTTCTCTCAAAAAACCCAAAAAAAGCACAAAAGACATTATTTCTCTCAAAAAACCCAAAAAAAAGTCTAAGAAGAAAACTGTGGTTTTGCCATATGGACCCTTATATCAACTTTGAAAGCCACGTGCATTTGACAGTGCTGACAGATTGAGCTGCTGTTCCTGGTACAAAAAATAGACCAGTTTTTCAAGCCACATTTCCTAGACCTAAAGTCATTATAGTGAAGGGTTAAATGACCTGACATCTTTAATGTAAATATACCTGAACTCTGTTAAAAGAATCCCCAGGCAATTGAAACAAAGCTCCCAGTGAGTGCAGAGGCTGACAAGAGAAATAAAATATTTATACAAAATAGTTGACAGATACATTGATCTAGTCATTAGTAGGGTTTTTTTTAATTACTAAATTAATTTCATGCCCACAGAAGAAGACTGATAGCATAACATAGATGTTTTCTTGTCAGCTTCAAATACATAACCATGAAATAAATTCATGGCATGGTGATAAAATATTTAATATTATAGTAATTTATATAGAGACCTGCACAACTGCTTTGTTAACCAATACCCCATGTTCTCAGGGGAAAAAAAGAGACAAACAAAGCCATAATGCCACCACACCAAAGCAAAAATACAGTTAGCATTTGTGGATAAATATTATTTGGACATGCAGGTCTAATGCAGAGAGCGGGGAGGTGGCAAGGCAAACAGGCAACAGAAGAGCAAACAAACTATTCTTTCAAAAACTGAGAAGTAACAGCTTGAGACTGGGATAAGCAGTTGAAAACTACACACAAATTATTGTGTGTTGTAGTAACAGTTACTACCCTGGCAAAACACCAAGAGTTAACAGCCCAGAGGAGTAACTCATCGACACAGAAGTGCTCAAAAAAATGAATGAGATGCTAGCTTACAGTAAAGATGGTGGTTATTCATAACATTCAATATATAAAACCAAACATGAACAGGACATCTGTACTATATGAGCTATTTATTCCATTTAGGTTAGAGTCTTCTGAGCAGCTAAAAGAACTTAAGAGTGTAACTAAAAGCTATGTTCAACTTTCTGTGAAAAAAAAACAAACCCCAGTGATTTGAATTCAGCAAAATTATTAAAACAGATTTAAAAGTATTTATTACATTTAGATCCCAGCTTGCAGAACTGTTCCTTTTCCAGCCCTCTCTACTTAGATGTTTAACCATACTCATTCTTGCAGTTGCTAAATGCAATTTATAAGAACAAATGTGAATTCTAAGTTTTCCCTAATCAGCCAAGTAAGATCTGAAGCTAAATCTCCCAAAGATAAAAGAACAGTCTAACCAACTCACTGAATCATTCTGCAATAGATTAGGAAAAAAATATTTGGAACTTTACCTCTTGTTGCTTTTGAAGCCTCTCAATAGCATTCTTTTCACGAGAAATCAAGGCTTCAGACTTTGCTTGATGTGTCCTCTCTAACTCGTGGCGCAGCTCAGAGATTTCTTTCTGGGTCTGCACTTTCTCCTCCATTTTAATCTTTGCTATTTCAACTTCTTTAAAATGTTGAAGCTTTTACATAAAGGAGGAAGAGAGGGTTAAATAGGGCCATCTTCAAATCAAAAAAGACAATTCCAAATTTCACCTTGAAATTCATGTTAGGAAACAATAAATTGATAATAAATAATTCCTATGATAGAAGAATCCTAACAGCACATACTATCTGCACATCTCACACAGTTTTCATGTGTTTATCCCAAAGCAGATCTTACACAAAACTATCAGCTTTAGACAAGAGCACAACAGAAGCCTATGAAGAAAAAAGCACTGCAGGAGTGATACTCTGCTTGGAATTAAGGAATGGCCAGAGTCTTTTACTCCTCTTCTGACACTGCCTTCACTCTTGTTCCTTTCCTAAAGAACCACTTCTGACTAGTGATTCAAGAAATGGCAGAAACAGACCCACACCCTGAATTGCTCAGAAACCACACTAATTCACCTGGACACAAAAGAAGTGCCAGAAATGTATAAAAATGCAGAACATGTAACTTCATCTAAAGAAGATTACAAAAAGAGAAGTCCCAATTCACTGACTTGTAAGCACAATTGAAAAAAAGTAAATGCCCACAAACAGGAGAGTACAAATCTTGCATCTGCACAGAAGAATCATTGGGAACATGACTCCATACAGCATGTGAAGGACAATATAAGTGAGAGCAAATGGGATTATAAAGAATTACAATAAAAATTTGGAAAAAAAATCAAAAGCAAGCATACAAGACAAAAAATGTGACGAAAAACTGAGCAAAAGAATCAAAAGAGAATGACAGAAAAATTGTGAGAAAGGATTAAAGAGTGTAAAGGCACAGTATGAATGTCTGATCAAGCAACTCAGGTCTGTGGGCATAAATTTTGTGAAAAATTAAAGAAATAGTGAGACAATACAACATCACTTGTATATCATCACTTGTATATATAGAAATTTGATTAGAAATGTCTTACAGTAATTCACATCATGTTGCCAATGAATTAATGTAAAGTTAATTGAATGAAGAAGAGATTCCCATCTCCTTTGTTACAACTGGTTTGCTTAAACTGATACAAACTTAACACACCAATTAACATGTTTTACATACTATAAAAGACAGAGGCAGTTGGGGAATAAAGGCTAAATGAAGAATGATGGTAAACAGAGGTTTAACTCTCCATCTTTCTACTTGTCTGGCTAAATAAATGACGACTACACTGAGTGCCTCTAAAACTGTGTGGAAGAATTGTCATTATCAGATTATCATCTACACATCCCAGTGAATGACTGATTGTGACAGAAATTAATGAAAAATATATTGAAATGAAATACAGTTGATTTACTTTTTTTCTACCTAAATAAAGAGATGATCTTGACCGAAATTTATGGAAACGGAAAAAGATTATTTAAATAAATGTATTTAAATAAATGCAGTATATTCCCTCTGCTCCATTTTTCAGACAAGGATTATCAAAAGATTATGTGACAAAATTTTAATCTTATTTCCAAAATGACGGAAAATTCTCTAAAAGAGCTGTCTTCAGTTATAGGAAGAAAATAAGTTAGAAATTATTCATAATACTGTCACGACTTTAGCATTTCTGTGCAATGTTTTGAAATAGAATGCAAATTCTCATCAGTATTAAAAATTAATTATCTGTCAAGCTACACAACAACAATTCACACCTCTCAGTTGCTATGCACCATACAGAAACTCAAGCATCAAAATATTAACTGAGAAGGAGAATGAAAATTGTGGTATAAACATTTCTCCATAAAACTAAATAATCAACAGCAGATAAAATTTACCAAATTAAGAAAATGTAAGTAAGTAAAGAGTAAGTAAATGTTAGGTTACAAATTAACATCAGAATACAAAGCTTAACATTCTGTGCACATTTAACAAAAAAGAGGGATGAAAAATATACATGTTATATCATCAAATTAACAACAGATATTGTATTAATTTAGCCTTCTGTGCTTGTTGTATTAGATTTCTTCAATTTGCCTTAAGTATGAAAAGTTTGCAATGTGTAAAGTAAAAATAAACAAATGTCTCCCTCAAATTCATAAACCACAGTTATACCTTTTGATGCATTTCTTCTTGAAGCTGCTTCTCTATTTCTTTTCTATATTCATTAAGTTTTACTTCTAAAGATTCATATTTCTGATGCTGAGGATAGGAGTCTGCAAACTGTTCATCAATCAGCTGAAGCTTCTCAGCTATAAAAAAGCAACACATCCATCATAATTTAAAAGCATTCACTGCAGTTACCTTACCTACACTGCAGGAACCTCACTCTGCAGGACATTCCTCAGCTTATTCAAGTAACACTATCCTAGAAACACTCTGCACAAAAGCAGAGGCAGCACAGAAATGCCATTTATTTGCTTTATTTATATAGGCTGTTCAGGCACTATTTGTGGTATTACATAGTCATTCATCCTCATTACCATGGGTGGACAAGAACTTCCTTTTGTATGCAACTTGTAGCTTTTTTTGTATTATATATTAACTGTGCAACCTTTAGCTTTTTTGTATTAATATATTAATAACAGCATGCATATTATACATTCAAGAACTCTCCATCTATGCCTAACTTGCTCACAGAAAGAGGGCACACATTTACAATTCTGTTCTCCAGAACATATTCCAACACACAACATTTACAGTCCATTTGTCATAGGTCTTAGCTAAATGCCTAAGGAAACACGAGAGTGATTTTAAAAAAAAATCATATCCTGACCTTGCGTTATTTTAAGCAAATTTAGAAATTCCACGTTCTAGTGACAGACATGACCTTTACTCATTGCAACTTTAGGTTGCATTGAGTAAATAACAAAGTAATACCATTCATGCAATATATATAAAGCCATATCATATGCCACTATGAAAACATCTGAGGAGACCTGTTTGCAACTTACCAAGAGACTCTCTGTAAGGAGGCACTGAGGTGGTCTGAGTTTCTGTGCTGTGAGTTTGCCTGTTTAGATGATGTTCAGTAAGTCCAATTAAAATCTGCATAAGGAAACCTAGCAAGATCCAATAGATTAGTAATTAGTAAATCAGATTTGCAATTAACAAAGCAATTTTCAATGTACAAGAAAACCTATTTGATTTACAGAAAGAACAACTATTTCAGTAAAAATCAATACTAGTGAACAATTATGGTTTTATTATAAACATAATCCAGCCCATCTCAGTCAGCAAAAGCTGTCCTTTTGCAACTTTTCCTCCCATCCATGTCTCTTGATTCCCAGGTCAGCTGAAAGTGAAGATTATTAGTACTTAATTATGAGGCCTTTAGGCAACAGGGGGTTTTCAAGATCAAGCTCCTTTAGGTTATACAGCATAGCTAGGTTCTGTTATGCCATATAAGAATTATTTCTTATATAATGCAATGGAAAATCAATTAAATCTGTAACTAGTTTTTGAAGTATGTTCTGCAGGCTAATACAGTGTTATAAAGACAACCCAAAACCTGAATTTTCCAAAGTTAGTATGAAAAGCCTCCAAAGAGCTTTATATATAATACCTGATTACAGATTTTTCTCATATTTCTAATGTACAAGTCATTTATTTTATAAGTAAATGTCAACAGTAAATCCACAAATATGAGTTGGATAATCCTGAAATATAACATTAATCATCTTGGTGTAGTGCAAGTTTCAAAATCCAACTAAATCCAAATTACTCCATACCAACACACATTTAAGAAATCTGCTTTTTTATTGCTTACATCTTAATAAAAATGAAGCTAACACAATTATCTCTGTCTGTACTGCATGCAAGTATTTTGTACCTTTATTTTCCTTCCGAGTTCCTGAGGTCTGTAAAAAAGAAAATAAGTTTTAGCCAGTCTATTTTCATCACCACTGTAATTTAAGCTTATTTTCAAAATCAAAATAACTTTACCAGTGATTTGTAAAGACTGGATTCTGGATTGATCCTCATTAATTGAAGAAGATCTTGCACAGTCCACAGCTTTGGGGAAAATAAACGCCAGTTGGAAAAGGTTAACAAATTTAAAATAATTTCAAGTAAGCAAATGGCACTATTTCATAGTTGTAAATGTTTTCCATTTGTGAAAGACCTATTTACTTCCTGTAAAATCATTTTCAGAGGCCTGCTATTCTACATTTACTTATCTTCACTACTTCAGACATACAGCAGCCAGCATGTAGCTTCATCATCAGCTGAAGCTGTGAAAAGACAGTTTTGTTCTCTCCCCACTGTCAACACATGCTTGCTACTTTCCTTGCCTGTTTTCTTGATTTACCATCCAAATCAGATGAGCTCACTAACCCAAATGATGATTAACTACTCACCAGGTCAAAAAACTAATTTTCAGTTAGAAACAACTTCACCCTATCACACACTTACAGAGAAGCAAAGGCAAGGCAAGGACTGCCCTTTTCAGCCACACTTTGTAGTTAGAACAGCTTGAACTGACCAGGAACCACATTTTCAGGGAATTGAATGGCCAAACACACTTTTATCAGGTTCAGTTCCCCAGTGCTCTGCCACACAGCCAGAACAGCACCACTAGCTTACTGCTAGTTTTAAGTATTCATGAAAATGACTCTGAATGACAGAATGTTTTGTGGAGATCAGAAGTTTTAAAAATATTTTTATTTCCTATCACAAAAAATTATCTTTTCAATTGTTAGAATATGACAACCTCCAGAGAACAAAGCTCCTAGATATCATGGAAAAGGCAGAATATTGAACGTACCTTGCTCTTCTCTAATCCACTTTCTGGAAAGAAAACAGAAAGTGAATACTCGTAGCCACATCTCTCTAGATGATCTGCCACCAAACTGTTGGAAGCAGTGATCAAAAGTGAACTGTCTTCACTTGGAACCAGCTGTGGCTGAAGCTCTCCACTCAGAATTGGGTGCATTAGTTCATGGATTAGCTGGTTTCGGAGGTGTGTCTAATACAGGAAAAAAAACCATTGCATTACCAGTTTACATGTGATTCAATGAGAGTTTTAATTTTTCAAAATCCACAGGGAGCCTCATTTTACTTATACAACCTACAAACAGAAGAGGGCAGACTAATTTTGGGAAAATCTGGAAGTGCACTATGAACACCCTGCCCTTCTTCAAAACCCTCTAATGGTGGACACAATGAACTCTGACTTTCCCTCAAAAAGTACCAAACATAGGACTAAAAATAAGTTCCCAGTCAAGAGCTCACATAAGCACCACTCTTGTAGCATCATTTTCAGATCTCTGCTTTCCTGTTTTCCTTCCCTTTGGCTTAAATAAAGCCTTCCTGATGTGGCCACCATCTCAGGTGTTCTTAGAACCCTCACTGATCCTCTTCTGAGTCTCATTCCAAGAAGCTGCTCATGCCATCACAAAAGTAGATGGCAAAATAAACAAAAAAATTCAATGTCTTTAATATAAATTATTTTGTAGGGAAGCAAAAGAGTACTAACCAAAGAGACCTACAGGCACTAATAATTACTAAATGGCATTTTAAAATAATTTATTTGTATTCTGTAAGTTACAGTAGAGGGGAAAAAGTAACCTAAAAGCAGATCTCCCTTCCATGAAAGGAAGAAAGAATTATTTTCATTATACAGTTATTCAAATTGTTTATACAAATTGTTTATAAGAAAAAATCATGGCACAAATAGTGTTTTAAACTTTCAAAAGCAGGTATGCAACAGTGACACAACTGAATAAAGAGGCAGTGTGTTACCAAAAATGTGACAAAATAATTACCACAACTGAATAAAGCTGGATCATCAGACCAACCTGATATTTTAGCATGGTTTTCAAGAGAAATTAGGCTGACAACAAAATTACAGAACTACAGAATATTCTGAGTTGGAAAGGATCCCTGAATCCAACTTTCAAACTCAACTAAAAAACCTCTTTTCCTTATTAATTTCTGAACTTGTTCAGTCTCAATCAACTTTAACAGACAGAATGTTGTCTCAAAAACAACCAGGAACAGCAATCTCTTATACATCTTGTGGCAAAGTGAAGGTGGAAAGCACAGGGCTAAATCCTTATCCATAGTACAGAAAAGGAAGGCAGAAATAGCCTTCTAGACAAGTTAAAGCAAAAAATTGAACTTAAACATAAAGTAATCTGATAGAATACTAGTTAAATTGAGCAAGAAATGGTTCAAGCACTGCAAGCTTGGTATGGAAGTCAGTAATGCAGAAATAAACTGTCCTGAACAGCAAATTCGTAGCTATTGGATTATCAATGATATTTTTGAAATATTGATCTTGATTTTTTCCTATGCATTCTCCTGAACAAGCACGCAAGGACAAAACAGCTCAAATAGTTTTAAAACAGGAATGTAGTATTTTAGAAGTATAATTCATATAGCATGCTTAATTATCATAGGTAATAAACACACCCTGTAACCTGAGAGATCCTTTCCTATTTTATATTCTAATTTATTGTTCTCTCCCGTGCCTGACTTCTTTTTTCAAGTATGGGTATTTTCAAAGACCTAAAGCAGGCTTTCAACCTTCCTCGGAAAAACACTACGAGGCCAAGGCACAATGAAAGGCCATTCTGTTTAGGGAGAACCTCGCAAATGGGGGGAAAACCCCCAAACACACCACACCCCACACCTCCCCAAATAATAATTAAGTTGTGGCAAAACAATACTTGGTGGAGAGAGCGAGATGCTTGTACTCGGCACAGCTTTCGGGGCTCTCTGTGTTAAAGCAGCACAGAGAACCACAGGCAGCACCTGCTGAAAACAAAGCACACCTTAAGTGTGTCCAGCACGCCTCGGCTCTTAAAGGTCTGATACAGCCTTTTCCGGAGCTCCTCCTGGGACAGTGTTTCCCTTTCAACCGATGCCATCGTGCCCTACAACACCGAAACAAAAAGGGCCATTACTGACTCGCAGCGAGACCCACATCCAGCGAGACGCCGAGCGCTCTCGCCGCCTCCCCTCGGCCCGCTCGGGCTTTCCCGGGCAGCCGCCCGCTACCCACGGGAGGGCGCCGGGGCCTGGCAGCGGGGCCAGGCAGGGCAGGGCCGCTCGGGGCTACGGGCGCGGTGCGGCGGCCGCTGAGGCGTCACGGGGGCGCCGGATGGGGCGGGCGCAGCGCGGCGCTTCCGGGGCCGCGGGCGGGAGGACGGGGCGCGGCGCAGGGTAGGCGGCGGGCCCGGGCGGGACCCTGCGGGCTGGGACTCCTCTCCCTCTCCCCCTGTGCCGTTGCTCCCCTGGGGATGGCAGCCCCGCGGAGTCCGGGCCTTCCCCCGGGGGGCGGCGGGACGGGTCGGCCTTTCCGGGCCTGGAGGGCCCGGGGATGGAGCCATGGGATTGTCCCGGGGAGGAGGCGCCCCCCGCCTGCCGCCCTTCCCCTTCTGCTGCCTGTGAGCAGGGCCCAGGGAGAGACAGGCGAGGAGGCTCCTTGGAGGCGGGAGCTATGGCCTGGGATCGCTGTGACCGGCGGCTCCCGGGGGTAAATCATCGGTGAGCAGGGCAGGAGTCGGTTTTAGGTACCTGGGTTCACTTCCAGGTCCCCTTCCCAAGGATATTCTCCGGCTCCCCCAGAATCTGTCAGCTTGGGAGGGAGCACAGGCATCTGGCGCAGCCTGCTCAAACAGGGCCGTCCTGGAGCACAGAATTGTGTCCAGGCTTTCTGAACAGGCTGTTCCAGTGCTCAGTCACACGTACAGCAATAAGTTGTACCTCGTGTCCAGGTGGAACTTCCCGGGAATCAGTTCCTGCTCGTTGTTTCTCATCCTGGTGGGTGGCTGCACCAAGAAGAGCTCGACTCCATCCTCTTGATGTGCATACCTAAATGTTTATCTCTCTTTAGCCTCTGGTAAATATGGATGGGAGCACATTGGCTGATTTTTAGGAGCTCTTCTACATGGATTGAGAGTTTGTATATAGACCCATCAGCATTTTTGTCTTTTCTTGTAGGGAGCATTGTTTTGAAGAATGTCTGGAAGTTTCTACTTCGTGATAGTTGGTCACCATGATAATCCCATATTTGAAATGGAATTTCTGCCTCCTGGAAAAGTAGAGTCAAAGGTGTGTTTTTTCCCCCTGTGACACTCCTGTGATTCTTTTATAATTTTACAGTGTATTAGAAGCATGACCAGCATTGTTGTTAAAAGAAATATCTACTGTTTTCTGGGGTTTATATTAAACAGAAATTTTGTCATAGGGAGTAGAACTCAAGTTCTCAAGTCTCTTAAAAAATCTTTGCCAGATTATACTAGTTCTTCACAAAACACAGCTTTCTTATATATTCCCTGCTGTATGTTGTAGAATATATATATCTTAGTTTTGCTTTCATAATTTCTCTTAGTGTGCAGAGGTTTTATAATAGCTGTTCATTGTTCAATGCCACTTACTTTTAAGACATTTATATTACAGTAATAAGGTAAAGGAAGAAAAATTTGAAAGCTCTAGTCACTCCTTTATTCTTTATGCTATAAAATACCTAATTTTTTAATGATCTTCATTAGTCATATTTGCTTTCAATTAAGGAAAGCTAAAAACTCATATTGATAAATAAAGACTTTGAAAATGTGATAAATGCAATACTAGTCAATAAGTATTGTTTCCAGTGGGAAAAAACCAAATCTATCTGTAAGTGGCATTACATCAAAGAAAAAACAGATTTCAGAATAAAAGTGTGTGTATCTGAGGGTGTATCCAAAAATGGAAGTATATGATGCCACTGATTGTATGGCATCATCTGTATTTTGAATTAATGTCCCATAAAAGATCATAAATAAGGCTACTCAGACTAGACTTTGTGTGAGGATGTGTAAAAGCTGATGACAGGGAAAACCTGAGAGGTGAGAATGGCAGTAACAGCATCCTGTTACTTTGAGAAACAGTACAAAACTACTTATTCTTCCAGTCTGATAAAAGCTTCCAGTGTGGTTTTATCCTGTATCTCTTCTTGGCAGATGTCCTCTGGTGTTCTAGATTGCCTACAAAGTACACAGGCCAAACACTGTGATCTCATGTTTATTATAGGAAGGGATGCAGTTTACACCTGCAGGCATATATTTAATACTAGTTGCAGAAAAAAGAGACCCCAAAACCAACAAAACAATCCTGGGTTTAGGTAAACAAATGAGAAAAACAGAATCTTTAGATTATTTTATCAGCATACCTGCCCTCTGTATTTCTGCTTTCTGCATCTGTCCCCCAGCTCTTGCACATTGTAACCTATGGGTCAATTTCTGCCAAATTTGACTGAAATGTTACAGTCCAGAAAATGCAACATTTTATGTATGCTATGTAAATATCACAAAAACAGATGTCTGGAAAGAAGAGAAAAGTACATATGAGGGCCTATATTGTGGAATAAGTTAGCAGTGGGATTTTGCCCATCAGTAAACAAAAGAATTCATGCTTGAGTTTGTTCCTGAGACATAATACAGGCTTTACTGATTTTGTTGCTCTCAGGACTGGATTTGTGATATCTTTTTATTACAACCTTTTTTCTCCCTTGAAACCAAATATCATGAAAACATATGCTAGTTTCATTTAATTACAGGACGGCACATGTAACAGAAAAGCAGGGTAAATGTAACATTCTGTAACTTGAACATTGGATCTGTAGCAACTGGAGCAAATGATTGTTTGTATTTCATTCCTTTCACTGGACTCCTGCTCTGCTGTGATCTGGGAATGCACCAGGATGATCATCGACACCTCAACCAGTTCATTGCCCATGCTGCTCTCGACCTCGTAGATGAGAACATGTGGCTTTCTAACAACATGTACTTGAAGACTGTGGACAAGTTTAATGAATGGTTCGTTTCTGCTTTTGTCACAGCTGGACATATCCTGCCCATTTCTCTTTCCTTATATTTATGTAAGAAAACCCTTTCCCCAGAAAGAGGTAAGTTAGATAAAGTGAGTTTGGAACAGATTTCTCTGGCTATTCGCCATTATTGCTAGAGTCATCAGCTTCAGGAAGAACTATATTGGGAGGCACAGCAGCTGGGAACAGTTGGAAAAGTGGATTTTTACCTTTGTAGGAGCCAAAATAGCATAATGAAATGTGGTACATGGAGTAAAGAGGTATGAGAGGCTCTGAGCAAGCTTGTATGTATGATCTCTGTTCCCATCCCTCTGACTGTGCTGGAGAGGAGAGGTGGCAGTGAATATGCTTGGTGTCAGTCACTCCAGGGGTGAAAATGCAGTGCTGAGGCTTGATACTGTGTACAGGTAGTCCTGGAACTGTTTGCTGAGAAACATTTGTTACACATAGCAAGTAACATTGAATGACATTTTAACTTTAGGGGTGCATGGCTGAAGTGCAGGGGGATGCACTTCAGATCCATGTTCCACGTTCAGAATTACATTGAAATTGAATAACAAAGAAACCTTGGATAGAGAGGTGATTATTTTCAAATAGGGGGATGTTAAAATATAAAGGTAATGCTTTCCAAATTTCATTGCTTCAATTACTTTTTTAGATGCTTCCTCCTGTGAGTCACTGCTATTTCATGTACAGCTAAACATTTGAGGTATATGTTGAATTAGGTGTAAATGCTTATCTCAGGATAATGTCTCTTATCTTTGTAAAAATTTTATTTTCCTTAATCACTGTACATATGAGATTTTTAATGCTTCATGATGTAAGGCAAGAAGATGGAATCAAGAACTTCTTTACTGATGTGTATGAGTTGTATATAAAGGTAAGAAATAATTTTTTATGGTCTTGCTGCACTACTTTAAAGCATGTTCTGCTGTTTGTGCTCAGGCACAGCTGTATTAGCATGTTTTCTGCTGGGGGCCTATATAAGCACCTGTGCGGCCCACATCAGCTAGAGCTGGTAATGTGTGACACAAAAGCTGTATTTTCCATGAAACAAGTTTTTTGAAATTGTTATAAACTCTACTCTTTTAGATTTCTTCACTTTAGTTCAGTAATTTTTTTTTTTTTTTGGTGGAATAGATTAGAATGGTCTGAGTAGAAAGGGACCTTAAAAACCATCTACAACTTCCTTGCCATGGGCAGGCACTAGACTAGATTGGTCAAAGTTCCATCCAACCTGGCCTTAAAAACTCCAGGGGTGAGGAATCAACAGCTTGTCTGGGCAACAGAGAACTTGTGGGGCAGCTTCTTGTGATGCATTTTGTGGTAGTATGGTATCACTAAGGATGATAATGAAAGCACTCTTCTAACAGAGCCTGGTAGCTTTGCTCTCAGAACACATAGTCCTTGTTCCCAAATCCTGGTGGTACTTCCACTGCACAGGGTCATGGCAAACATGAGCATCACCATCTCAGCCTCCCACAGGCACTCCAATGATCCTGATTTCCACCAGTGTGATGGGTTTGTTCTGAGGAGCTGGTGCTATGGGATGGCTCTGCACATGTAGGGAGAGAATGCAAGGGCCTGGAAAGCAAAGACTGTTTAGGAGGTCTGTGCTGTTAGTGACACTAAGTAGGCTGAAAGCTAGTGGTAGATGTCACCTGAAGTGACATTTTTCAGGGCTGGGCATTGTGCTTACTGTGCTTTTCTTCTTTCCCCAGTTTGCAATGAATCCATTTTATGAACTTAATACTCCTATTCGATCCACTGCCTTTGAAAGGAAAGTCCAGTTCCTTGGGAAGAAACACCTTTTAAGCTGAATAAATAAATCAATCTCCTGAGTGAGTGCTTTTTCCCTCCTTTCCCGATTGTTTGAACTGGTCTGGTTAGTCCCCTGCATGTTTTATACTCATCTTCTGAAGACTGACTAGTTGGATGCTGAAGCAGCTTTTCCTGTTGCTGATCTAGATAAGAACAGCCAAGCTTCTCTGGTTAAAAAAAGGTGTATCTCAAGAAGTTTCCTTTTATTGATATGAAAATAAAATTTTAAACTGTCAGAGGCTGCAGAGGTACAAAAGAAGAAACTGAGACATTATGTGCTAATGCATATGCAAAGTGTAAGCCTCTGACTCAGGGTGGGAGGAAATCAGACCTGAATGCAAAAGATATCACCGGTCACCTGGTTTAGTATGAGCAAAAGGGAACTCTTGACTGTTTGGTCTAAGTACTTAATTTTATAATAAACTTTCCTAGTTGTATTCCTTCAGTAGAAAGCTCACTCTGCAGACTAACCACACTAAGATTACACTCTGGTAGTAAATCAAGCTTCTATTTATTGATCTGTAATTGTATGTATATAAAGTACTCAATAAAAAATAGAAAATAAAAAAAGCTGTCTCCAGTACATCAAGAAACTTTGAAGAAAAGTCCTAGAGTTTAAAAGTGTCTCATTTCAAATTTTCCATGTATTCAGTGCAATACACATTTAGCTGCAGTGTTGCATTAATGAATGAAATAGACCAGAAGAGCCAGATCTGCCATGACATTAATTCTAAATCACACATGGAAAAAACCCAAATGAAATGTTTAAACCCACTTGTTTTTTCCCATTATTTCTTCAACTGCTGAAACGTTCTTTTTGTAACTAAATTTAGAGGAGGATCTTTGCATCATGAAACCATATTTGTTGATGTTTCAGAAAGGCATTATTTGGCCTGTCTGGCTCCTGTTCCATTGTAAAATATTTTAGGAACCAATTTGCAAAACTTAACATCATTCCAAACCAGTAATTTTTAAATAGAGCATTTGGCATTTTTGTACCTAATACTTTGCTTGGGTTTATGATCTTAAATATTCTGTTTCTTTTTGCAGCAAATCTGTATAAGCTATCTTGTACTTTTTTTTTCAAAAAAGTCTGAAAAGTAATTTCCAAAGGAAGTGGCCTGCTATTCTAAGAAGTATTTTGCATAGTCTGTATAATTAAGGGGACCACATCTGTATGTGCTATAAGTGTATAGTCAGTCATCATTTCTGCACTTACTGCTAAGTTGTCACTGTAAAATGTTCCATGAGAAAAAAGAACATATTTACCTTAAATAAAACATGAAATGTTGTAGTATGGATGCCTGTTGAGTATACTTGAAGTGATTTAGAAGAAAACTAGATAACCACAGTAACAGTACCTGGTGGGATGGCCAGTGAAGATGGGAATACCTGTCTTTGCAATGTTTTTGCATATAGACTGCATTGTGCAGCACTTTGATAATGTCACGAGATTTTATATAAATCTTTTTTTTTTCTGTATACATGGAAATAACAAACACACTTGAGGTAAATCATTCTTGATCATGTGATAAGGAGCCACTGAGCTGCAGTTATTTTCTGCCTCCTCCCCTGTAGCATGGTATCTGGAAAAATTCTAACAGTTAAGATTCACTGAGGAAGTACTTTAGTTAAATAATCATATACTTAGCAGGAAGAAAAGGCTCGGCAAATATGAAGGATTAGTGCCAACAGTTTCTACCACTTTTAGAAGCTACATTTTTATAATTGCATTTGTTGCTGCAGTAGGACATTAAGAAAAATGAAAGCATTTTCTTTCTTGCCTGATTTCTGAAGGCAGTTAGCCAAATGGTGCCTGTTCTTATACCTCCCCTACATCTTTCCCTCTTTCCTGTGAATATAGGAATTGTAGATGGGAAATGCAAACTCAGGTCCACCAAGGCTTTATGAAAACAGTAACAGACTGTTACCGGCCACAGGAATGGAAGAATTATGTCCTAACTCATCACCTTTGTCCTAGAGTTTGTGGTTCAGGGGCATTGTCTTGTGACAGAACCCTGAAGGCCTTGGTCAGGTAGCTCCAAGTTCTCTGTACATGGACAGACACTTGTTTATGTTTTAGTTTGTAACTCTTCTCAGTCAGCTGAAGTGATGGGTGAAAATTATCTTGTCATCAGCTAAAGTCACAAATCTGTTCTAGGCCTGAAGGCTGCAGTTCCAGCATGCTTCAGTGAACAGTTTCTCAGTGAAAAGACACCTCCTTTGCAAGGATTATGTTCCTACCCCCTCTCAGGAGCTTAAGAATAAGAATTCAAACTAAAGTCTGTTGCAGTACAAGAAAACAGAGATAATCTGCATTATGCAATAAAAAGTTTATGAGTTAAAGGGATTAGAATTACCCTAAGTCATTCAAAAATCAAGCATAAGGAGATGAGAACATTAGCACAAGCTAACATGAATCAACCTTAGTAAATCCAGGCTGGAAATGCAACTCAGACTCCACTTTCTACAAGGTTCTATTACTGTTTAGGTAACCTGTCAGGTGACTTAAATGAAGAAATGAGGTATGGGGCAGCTGTTAAAGCAGCTTATGTAAGCATTGATACAGTTTGTTGTGACACGAGCTGCCAGCTGTCCCAAGTGGCTGCTTCTGCCCCTTCCCATTCTGCTTTCTAACAAGCACAGCTTCCAGCAGTCCCACCAACCCACAACAGTTCTTCTTCCTCATTTTAAAGGACACTGGAACTTTGCATACATGTTACACAGTATGCTCTGTCGATCTACAGAGCACCACATACTGCTAACAGGACACTGTAATATTTGAAGTGTGTTAGCTCTTGAAACAAATCAGTGAATTGAAACATAAGCCACAAATGCCTACCTTACATCCATATGGAATGAAACCTAGCTTTTACAAAGTACAGAAATTAATGTTTACTATTAAGCATTATGATTTTATACCTGTCACCTATAAGTGCTTGTCAAAAGATTTTTGATTCTGTAGACACTAAGTAGTTTCCCTCTGAGACCAATTCCTGGCCTAATTTCTGTACTGTCTTATTTACTAAGCATGTCCACACCTGTTTATCTTTACTGGCCACTTTTGTGATGAGTGTGCAGTTGTGATACAGCAGCTCCCAGGGCATGAGTAATACACTTCTATGGGATTATGTTTTAACTTTATTAAACCTACTTCTGAGATGGAGGCTTGGTAACCATGATGTGAAGTGGAAAGGGGACAGATAGGGAAACACAGATGCCCACACAGAAGAAAGATGACAGTGGTTCTCATCCTTCATTTTTCCCTTTTAGCAATCTTACTTGAATGGTACCTATAGTACTCTAGTCACAGTATCTTCAGCTCCTGTTTTATTTCAACATTAATCTCTGCTAAAATAAATGTTAAAGGAAGCTTTAAGTTGTAAGGTAGTGGTTTTACAACAATTTCATGTCACTAGCTTCGTAGCCCCTAACACAAGCAATCTTAATTTCTGAAGCTTTTTGCTCTCTCATCCTAAGATTAAGAGGGATTTAGCTAAGATTTTCTTCACAGATCTTTTCATTCATTGACTAGAAATTAAACATAAGTGGCAGTTCAACCTATATTTAACTGCTCAGGGACTGAACTTTAAAACACAGTTCTGTTGGTGTAGATGCAGGACTGCAATGATGAATCAGACTTAGGAATGCACAAAAGATAAAAAGATGGAAGTTTGAAGCAGGAGTAGCAGATCTGCAGAATAAAGTTATCCTGGACAGGTCAAGCAAGAATAAATACATTCAGAAAAGTGTACTAAGAGCAACAAGGGTTTGTTTTTGCAAGCTTTACTTCCAAATAATTACACCTGGTACAGATTGAGCAGATACTTTTAGATAAAGTGCTTGCTGGTAATGTACTCTTCAAGAAATGCTTTTCCATTGAAACAAAAAAGTTTCTGTACAGAAAACTTCTTGTTTAATCAATAACATGGCCTGTCCTGCAGCATCAGACTTCCTCTCAGACCATGTGCACATGTGTGCCTGTTAGCAGTCAATTACAGATGGAAGCAATTGCTACTGTACTAGCAATTTTGCTACTGCAAGGACAGTGGTTACTCTGAGAGCCAATAACCATTTCTCATACAAGTATTCTACCACTTAAACTGCAGCTGAAAGCCTCAAAAACACCTGCAAGTTTTGTCTGCCTGACAGCAAAAAAACTGTCCAACAAATACAGTTCATAATTATGAAATGAATTCAGTAATATAAAAGTCATTATCTCTTAAAGGTACAAGTCCATATCCTAAAATAGCAATTTTAATAATGATCAAATTCAGCTCAAACACTATCTATAGTTATATACCTGTATTAGGGCTGAAAGCTGTCAAATCTACTGTAAGTCAAGAGCTTCCTGAGTTCTCTACGTATTGCCATTCCTTAATATCACAGTGCAGATATTACAGGTAAACACATTCATAGCTCAGGGTAACAGAAACAAGAAGTTTGGAACTTCTAAGGCTGTACACAAGTTTTCCTAAAAAACTGTCACAATGTGGATCCTTTCAAGTGCTATTAAAGCTGACTGAATAAAGCATTTCTTTTTCAAAAAATGGTTATATTTCAGTTACTCAGATTTTTCACCTTATTGATCAGAAACATGCCAGAATGGACTTAAGGCAAGGACACACATTAATTTAAAAAATGATCGGTATTTTGCATTAAACCACTAGAGAAATTAGTGCAGCATCAGATTAATATATGGGAGAAAATGGACACTAAATACGTAGGAAATTTAATTCCTACTTACAAACTTACACAAATTACAGCAACATTAGGCAATTAGAAGACCTGGATGTAATTTATATTAACTTATAATAACCAGATTAGAGATGAAGTACCACTCACAGCAAAAGGAATGTAGTGAGACTGAAGTTTAATATCTAGCGTTGTTAAGAAACTGACATCTAATGAAACAAAAGTGGAATGCCGATTTCATAAAAATATACACATATAAAAGTATCTTTGTGCCTGAATTCCAGAACAGCTTCTCCAAAGTAGTGCTTCTAGAACTTTCAAGTTTTAATTATATTCAAAGGATTTATCATTTGAATAAAGTTGGCAAATTATACTCTTATATTATTTTTTTCCTTGATGTCTTCCTAAACAGAAAGCATCACTAATTCATTAACGGGTCACTCATGAATGGAGATTTTTCTTTTTCTCCCCCATGAAAGCAGCAAAATATTACAATTTTAATATTAGAGTGAAATCCATTTGTTATTCTATCTACTACACCTTCCCCATTCCTTTACAGAGCAAGCTAGTCAACAGTAATTTGGCAAAAAGAAATTTAAGTCAACAACAAGATGAGCTGGGCTTCGGTTTCCGATGAAGGTTTACCGTATCTGTTTGAATAAAGTGATCTGATCTATCTTCAGAGGCCAGAACTCTTCTAACAGCTTCTTCAAAGGCTGCTGCAACGTTAGTGGCATCTTTTGCACTGGTTTCAAAATAGGGATGGTTGCCATTATTCCTGCACCAGTCTTGGGCTTCCTCTGTAGATACTTGCCTTTCATCGATATCAACTTTGTTACCCAGTATCACAAATGGAAAACTTTCAGGCTCCTTCACATCTGCATAATAAATGAATTCTTTCTTCCAGTTGCTTAAGTTTTGGAAGCTTTGAGAGTCATCCACGCTGAAGGTTAGCAGGCAACAGTCAGAACCTCTATAGAAAGGAGTCCGCAAGCTCCTGAAGCGTTCCTGCCCTGCAGTGTCCCAGATCTGCATGGTAACAAAGTGTCCATCCACCTCCAACTCTTTGTTTAGGAATTCCACACCTATGGTATGAAACAGCTGCGCGTCGAACTTGTTGGTGACGTATCTGTTCATGAGGGAACTCTTCCCAACTCCACCATCTCCCAGCAGTATTACTTTAAGGAGTGATGATTTTGTTGCCATTTTGTTACGGGAAAAGATCCTCCTGTTTTCCTAGACCTGTAAAGATTAAGGAAATCATTAAAAAGGAAAATAGTTGTGAGCACCAAATTTTGCACACATAAATATCTAGAATGTGTTTTAAATTCCACCAACATCAAGTTTCATGAACAAAAACAAGACTCCACTAAACAGGTGAACTGCAGTTACACTCCAGTAAGAGTACCCACTCAAGAATATCAAATTAAAGAGGTGTCTTTTCCACAGACTGCAGTCTGCATCTAAGCAGTATGCTGCATAAATTACTGCTCTGTCACTTAGAACTATTTTAAACCCCCAAATCCTTCAAACCACTCCCCCTTTGTACTGAAGGGGTATCACATCACATTCAACAAGTGCTATAATTAATTTATGTTCACTGGAAAAGGTTCATGGAAAAAAGCAGAGTGAGAGAACTTTATGAAGCATGTGCCTTGAACTAGTCACTTCAGTGCTGTATTTTATTACCAAAGTTACTTTTTAAACCAAAGCACTAGGAACACAGTTATCTATGGAACTAATGCAAATGCTGTCATTTTATTTAGATGAGCATTCAATAGTTTATAGTTTACCCTGCAGAACAGCACCGATGAATGGAAAACTATTAAAACTTCCACAAAACAAAGTCAGCTGTCACTACTTCAATGATACTCAAAATGCCACATACCAAGCCCAAGCCTACAAAGACAGTTCAGTTAGGAGGTGTCAACTTCCCATAGTAAAACTGTCAGAAATTCTGGAAGTGCTAGTGAATAGTCCGGCAGCCAGCATGGGGATGGCAAATTAGTGACAATAAAGAAAGCTTTTTAACTGTTAGACTTAAAAAAAAAAATTTTAAAAAATCCTTTAGCGCTAAAGTAGTTTGCTTATTAGTGCTTTGTACCCAACCTTTGCCCTCACAACTGTAGTGTCATCTAAAATGTACTGTAAAATGGTGTTTTAATTGCTTGGGGTAAGGTTTCATTTTATCAAGCCCAAACTGAAGTTTCTGTTTGAGAACTGTGTTCCTAAACCTACCTGATAGTCTGGGCTTCAGCCCTACCAGGCTTCTCTGAAAATAGCATCTATTTAAAATGGAAATGGGTCATAAGTTGCCTAGTCCCTCTCTTTCTTTGAAGGAAGGAATGTGGTCTTGCTAGTTGTAATTAGCATTACTGGCATATACATCACCCACAGTGTGGCTGTAGAATTAGAACCTGATACAAGCTGGTGTGAGAGTCATATGACTCTGTGCTGCCTTACAATCAAGGCCTACAGTAGGAGCAAGAAATTTCAGGAATTTTTTTTATCAGTGACTTTCCATCTTTGAATATTTACTTGCTAGACACAATCTACAGTAAGACAAAAAGGGTAGTTTGAAGCCTCAACACATAAAAAAAGTCAAAATATGAGAACTGACTGCTTCCATTAAAATGTTTTTCAGAGCAAGTAATTTAATTCATTCATACCGCATAATTAACAGCGTTTATAAAATCTTAATTCTGTACAGGTTTGTATGATAATAAAACTTCTTAGAAGCTACAATAAGATAGTTCATTTACCCTTCAGAGAGCTACAGGATAATGGCTAGGGCTCAGGTTATGAACACATACATTTTAGTGCATGCAAAAAGCCTCATTAGAGTCACTGGACTACTTGTGTAAGGGCTGCAGTTAAGAGATATTTAACTCTTAACTCTGAAAAAGGTCTAGTGTATTTATTTATGTCTCCAGCTTCTACATCAATAGATAGGAGCTGCTTCTTAATAAATAATGCTTTCATGGGCACAGAGGGTACTGAATGTTCTCCTGTTCTTCCCTACCAGTGCAGGGAACAAGTTATAATTTATTTTTCCAGTCCTGCAGAAATCGGAAGTTCCGCGGATGACACAACGCGCACAAATAACTGGCTTAGGTAGTTCTGACTGGTGCTAAGCACTCGTTCTTTAGCATCTGCATTTCTGTCAATGGCAGCCATTATCATGAAATTGTCCACAAAGCCACATTTTTAACAAAATACATGTAAGCAAGGTGTTAACAGTGTCTACTACTTTGTGCATCTAGAACCTGCAAAGTTAATTTGCACAATTTCAGCTATGTGGGCCATTCCAGTGAGGTCTAAGAGACTGATGCCCATAAAATTAGTTTTACTGGGCAGACAATTACAGACTAACCACAAACTATTAGAAGTGGACCAAACTGGTCCTTTCACACAAAAGCTACAGAAAGAGTCTTCAGTGATGTTGTAAGCAATGTTGCTTTTCAGGACATTCAGTTTCCACAGCTGCCATGCTAGGCTGGAATTAGGTTTCTGTGAAGTTTTTAATTCAAAATAATGGAATATACATTGAATAATTTAAATAGATGCTGACAAGCTGTATCTGAAGCACCAAAGAAGCATGTTTGAAAGTACTAGCAAGTATTTTTGTTTGAAAGCAGCTAAGACTTGATACATTTACAGTTTTATTATTGTATAAGAGACTCATCTGCAGCCACAACTGATAATGTGATTTAGAATATCTGCTGAATCAGTTGTATTCTTCGAAACAGTAAACTATTTTCTAGTTGTGCATTTTAAATAAGTTAAGATTTTTAAAGAACTCAATTTTTTAAATTGTTCTTTCTAAAGTTATGAAGCCTTAACACTCCAACAAATAATACAAGGATAAAATACTTAAAACACTACAAGAATTAATATTATTTCTCCTATTATACAATTTATCTGTATAATGTGCATTTTGACAGTGGTTTTGGAAGGGGTGGTTAACATACAATATGATGTTTATGAAAATTTACTATGTCAATTTTTCAGTTTAAATCATCATTCATCATCTGAAAACAAAACAAAAGCTTAATTCCTAATGTGCATCTGATTGTTTTACCCAGCATTAGGAATCACAAAACAGTATAGAATTAGATGTAACTGTTTGTTATAGTTATTTCTTAACAATTAGTTAATGTAAAAGTAATCTCACTCTAGTAGGCAAAGGGCCTGTAACAAGAATAATTTTCCTTATGTTTTTCAATCATTTCAATACACAAAGAAAGAGCAAATAAACAGCAGCCCCACTCTGGTTCATTTTGATAACCATTTCTGAATTGCTTCCCCTAACTTAAAAGGATTACAGTGTTTAAACCACTGGCTCCAATATTCCTGTTAAAAGCAGGGAACATTTTCTACTAAATGTAATTTATGACATGATCATATACCATAAAAAAAAAAGGAAATTAATTTTTGCCTTTAAGGATGTCCCTTTTAAACAGTAAAATGAATTGCAAGTCAAATATTTCCACTATCAGTCCAAATATTTGGTGTCACAACAAAAGACAAACAGCTAAGCAACCTCAGAAAAATCAGTTTGCATTACAAAATCCAGTCCTGCAAAGGTTAACAAAATACCACTGCCTTGTCCAGTCTATCCATCTTGATTGTGTTACTTCCATATGTCAGCTTAATATCTGTCTTTGAGTACAAATACCTCTCTTCTAGTTACTGAGGCAGCACTCAGAGAAAAGCAAGATTCCTGGTCTAGAAAACAATAGTAGCAACATGTGAACCCAAGTCTAAGAATTTGTCCTTTTTTACTTTAACAATAATTTCATAGATGAAGGAGGACCCACTCACACCAGTGTACTGAGGGCTGAAGACAAATGCTGAATCCAAGTTCTATGGAAAAGCAGTGCTGGCCAACACAGTAACTGCACAGCCTCTGTAATGTCAGCTAGCTGCAAACCCCATGTAAACTATTAAGCAAACCAAGGCAATTGGATCTATTTAGTTTATTTTTCCCATGCTGATACCAGCCTCTGCAGCACACCATTAAAAACCCAAACAAAAAAACACATAGCAACTGAAATCTCACCTCCACTCCCTGTTTTTAATAGGGCACCAAACCCTGGATCTATTGTAACACCACCACTGAACTGCCTTAGCATTTTTGAAGAAACAGATGTAAGGGACACTTCTAATTTCCAGACAATTGCTTCTCCACTTGTATTTACTTTCTAAGTTGGAAATAGGCAAGAAAATTTGTTTCAGTTATCACTGTCATTCAGTGGTCACTTGATGAATCACCTACTATACAAAACCAAGACTAAACCTAAAGGTTTTCTTGAGGATATGTGGTACACTGTCCTTTAACTAACGCTGTTAAATGTAAAACAGACTCAAGTTTGTTCCCATCATGGAAGTAATCATGTTTACTTACAACCTAATGTGCCATCAGCCAAAAAGGGGCCATCTTTGACTTAAGAAAAAGACACTAAAGTTATGGACAAGCAGAATTAGCAGTTCTGTGAGCATAACACTGACCATGTTTCACAACTTCCTATCCTCAAATTTACACATATAAGCACATCCATTTCAGTTTTGAAGCTTATTCACAATTTTATTTACTAAGCCACCATATTTTGTTAAGCCACTGGTATCAGATTAGAAGTTTAAAAAGGCACACCACTGCAAGCATTTTGACTGAAAAAACACTTGCCTTTCAATGGAAGTGTAAACTCCCTCCCTCATTAGTAGTTGGGTTTTTTCACAGAAACAAAGCATTTGACAATAATTGCCAGGCTAGCATAGAAAACATAGTTTGTTAGTTAAAGCAGCCCATCAAAGAATGACATTAATTGCTTCTCTGTGAAAGGTCTGAAAAGAAGTCCCCAGAACTACAAGAGTAGCAGCAGAAAGGGCAGAATCCAAAACTACATAGTTTTCAACACTTACTGTTTGTGGAGGATTTACATTTCTCAGCCCTCAATCACTACAGTGGTAAAACTTGTTGCCTATAGCAGATCTGCAAGTTTCCAAAAATCTGAAAAGAAAGGACAGAATCATGTTTTCTCACTTTTCTCCCCTTAGTCAATCCTTGTTCTTTGATTTGGGAGGTAGTGGTTTATACCCTGGTCAATTAAGTGGCAGAAGAATACTTTTTAGTGCATAAGAGGCCACAAACATGTTTGACCTTGAAAGACTTTCTCAATTCAAAGGAAAACAACCAGATATGAAGCCAAGAGGCCACAGGCTTTGTACTTTTGAATGTGCTACAAGCAGAGACATTAGTCAGCCTCCACCCTGACCCTCCCCTCCACGGGGCATTGACGTAAGAGCTGTGGATCAGGAACTCCCCTTTGCTGACAGGCACTTGTCAGCTGCCTCAGAGCCAGCCCTACCAAAGTCCTCATCTCCTCACCAGTCTTCCTTCCTGTACCTCTGATTTCACCACTGCACTACGAAGATAACATGTCAGCAAATTATTAAACATCTATCCAAAAGAAAACACAGACTATCTGAAATTGCCTCTAGTTGTAAGCAGCCTTGATCTAACACCAGAAAAATCACTAGAACTTACTTGTAATTTCTTATATGAACCCAACCCAAAATGAACTGTCATTCAGCTGTTGCCACTCATTTAGATACCAAAAAAGTTTTATTTGGGGGTTTCTTTGTAAGGTTTTGACTCTTTTGAAGCTCAGGATTCTAGTTCAAACAGCTGCCTGGCATGACCCAGGACTATGAAAGACCCAGTGGCCAAGGGAAGGAATCCTGAAGTTCACAATAACCCTTGGATCATTAAATCATTTCAGCACTTACTGCCAGAATCTCTTCATTTATTCTAACTTCTAGCTTGACACAAAGTCAATTAGCAAAATTTGTCAGGAGAAATACCTACATTTATATCTCTGCCAATTTAATATTACATAAGCCTAACCTTCACCTCCAACCTCATTCCCCAAATTCAAGTAAAATGAGCAAACTTATTTATTCCAATTTAATCAGTTGACATTTCTCAGCAGTTCACAGTTAAATATGTTCCATCTTAAATATTCTATTACTTTCAGCCAACTTCAAAACACCCTTCAGTGCTGCTTCTGGTCCAACACTGCTAACAATGCTTGAGCTATTTGACATTCTCCTTGCAAACTACTTCTCTATTACTGCTTCCACTCTTTCAATAACTGATCCAGCAATTATTTCTGCCCAAATGTGCTCATCCTTCTCCCTTGCATCAGTTTCCCTTTTCCTTCAGGGAATCTTAGTAATAGCAGCCTCTATTGGTTCAAGGCTACCTTGTACATTCATATTCCTCCCAGTGTAACTCTTGTGACAAAAGCCCATCCCTAAGGCATTAAGTGGGTTACACTGTACCAGGCCAACACACTTGTCTGCTCAGAAGGAAAACAAAAACAAAACACAGGGGAGAACGAACACTATTAAAAAAGAAAATAAACAACAAACACTAAGGACTTCTTACAAGCCTTTTTGCTGGGAATTTTTTATCCATCGTGAAACATTTATGTAAAATTCCAAACCTAAGGAGCTGGAAGATTTGTTTCCCATAATTTATTACCAAATTGACACAAAATAAAACAAAGCTCGAAATCTAAATATCTTATTTGACCCTCTGCAATTCTTTTCTTACACATATTTTCAATTTAAGGAAACTGATGGTGTTTGAGCACTCAAAAGTAAAACAAGGAAACAAGAACTGCTAGAGCAGGTGTTTTGGTTTGTTGGGGGTTTTTTTTGTTTGTTTTATTTTGTTTTTTTTTAATACCCACTGTCTCTTTTTAACTTTATGGAAAAGGCTTTACTAAGATTAAGACAGCAAAGACAGCTCCGTACAACCTGAATGGAGACAGAGAAAAGTAACTGTTCATTATAAATTTGATGCTGGTATGAAACACAGATAGAGCTGTGTCATCCTTTGATTAGGTTTCTCTGAAAATAAAAGTGCTAAGAAAAAAATGTTTTGGATTTATTTTGGGTATGTGTGCTCTCCCTTCAGTCTGCCATTACAGCTTGTTACCTTCAAAGCTACTAAAAGTAATGGAAAAACACTTTGAATAAACAAACAAAAAAAAACCACCGAAAAAAACCCAGTCACACATAGCCACCCTTGCTCTAAAAAAAGCTAGCACTGACAACTTCAGTGTTGCACAACATGTTGAAAGTAAAGACAAATAAAACCCACATGCTTATTTAGTGTAGCTGTAAATTATTATGGACAAGAAGGAAAACAACATGTAGGACAGGAGGCTGCATGAGGGCTATCTGCAGACAAGCATTTCAGTTCCTGAACAAAACTTAGCCAAGAGTTCCCTACTTAACTTCCCACTTAACTTTTATTAACTTCCCACCCAAGTTAATAAAACTTAAATGCTCTCCATGGATCTAGTTATACGTAACCTTGCTATAAAGGCACTAATGGAGGTTTTTAAAACTATTTCTCTTGCACTATCCTGTTAGCCACTAAATTGTTTTGAACAAGTTACCTGTAACACGGATTTACTTATACCGAGAGCAGCCTATTAACCACGCAGACGTGGGCGATTCCCAGCCCTGCCCCATCCCCATCCCTGCCCACACCGGGGCCCGCAGAGGCACCTGCCGCCACCGGGACTGCCCCGGCCACCCCTGCCCACACCGGGGCCCGCAGAGGCACCTGCCGCCACCGGGAATCCCCCGGCCCTGCAGATCGGCTGAGCCGAGCCACTGCTTGAAAGAAGAAGTGAAACCCAAGGGCGCGCTGGGCAGGCGGCCGCTCTCCGCACAGAGTCCATTGGGTTGGAAAAGACCTCTGAGATCACCGAGACCAACCTATGGCCGAACACTCCCTGTGAAGCAGCCCGCGGACTGAGTGCCACGTCCAGCCTTTGCTCAAACACCTCCAGGGACGGTGACTCCATCACCTCCCTGGGCTGCCCGCTCCAAGCTCAAGCAGCGTGAAAAAGGAGACAAAAGGAGCTTCAATACTACTTCTGTTCCCAGTCCGAACCGTGTTGAGCACACAGGTACGAAGCCAAGTTTCAGCCTGACAGACTAGCGATGTCTCTCAGACAGGAGGAAGCGCTCCGGGGTCGGTGACCGGCCACAGGCCAGCTGGAGCCGCTTCCCAAAGGAGCCGCCGCCTGCCCCGGAGTCACGGGATGCCGGATCACGCCACATTCCCCGCCACCCGCACCGGCTCTGGGGAGGGCCCGGGGCTCCCTCCCACCGCGGGCCCGGCCGGGGCTGCCCTCCCGCTCCCGCCAGGGAACACCGGGGAGCGCGCCTGGGATCCCGGGCAGCGGCGGGGAACGCGCCAACATGGGAAAGGAAAATAACGCAACCTGACTCGGCTCCAGGCCGCGGGAAGGGAACTGCCGCCGCTCCCGGGCGCGCTGGGGAGGCCGATCCCTGCCCGCGGGAAGAGAATTGCCGCCGCTCCTCCCGCCGGTCCCGGTCCCGGGCTGCGCCACCGCCACCGGGCGCTGCGGAAGGAACGAACATGGCGGACAGGCCGGGGGCGGGACCGGCACCACGTGAGCCAGGGCCCGCCCATAGGGCACGCCCACCGAGCAAGGCCACGCCCACCGGGCAGGGCCGCGTCCCGACGGGAATGGGGGGAGTCGCTCCGGCCGGAGCTGCGGGATGGTGCGGGAATGGGGACAACGGGGACAACGGGGACAACGGGGACAACGGGGACAACGGGGACAACGGGGACAACGGGACAGCCGGCAGCGGGAAAGACTGTGCCCACAGCCAAACCAGGGCCGGAAAGGCTCATTGAAGCCATCTCTCACCGATCACTACCGTGCGCCGTCTGAAGTGGAAATGATAACTTCTACTTGCTCTAGAATGCCCTGCACTATTAAGCCCGAAAATGCCTTTATAAAGCATTTGCCGGTCAGATTTATTTATTAAAGGCAGTAGTCTCACTGTGCCCCACACTAAGGGCCCCAGGTGTGCAAACTCACAATTGTAAGGCAGCTTCATTTTACAAGTAGAAACATTTAAGGTATCAATGAAGGAATTCATCAAAATACAAAGCACGCTATTTCAAAAAAGTAGCCAGATGCTCTTTTTCCTGTAATAATTCAGAATAACACCAACTTGACTGTTAAAACAAGATCACAGGGAGAAAAGCTAGAGGAGACAGTGATAACAGTCTTTTCTGTGCTCCTACAATCTCCTCACGAGGGCAAAGTATAATTAATACGAAAAAAAATCAAAAAAAATTTAAGAGGTTCCCACACCATCAGGAGGAATAGGTGATGACAGGCATAAGTGCACCCATTTGCTCAAGCAGTCATCACATGCTTCTGATCATAAGGCAGATGCAACCAGACTGGAATTGCCACTTCTAGAGTTGTCTTGTTTTGGATCAGACAGCAACACGGCCCAAGGAATGGAAAACAAGATCTCAGTAACATCAAAAGGAGATGTCTCCTACTGACAGAATAGGATTATTAAAAGGCAGGCCATGCTAGAGGCAAATCTTATGATACCAGACCCACTTTTATCTAACAAAGCTGGACTTCAAAAATTTTTGAGTGCTTTTTTCCCTGCAATCTGCTTTCATCCAATTCTAGTGTAAAAGACAAGCAAGTGCTAAAGGAGTAGGAAAGTGGACTTTAAATTATGGTAATTCTAAGGTATATAAGCTCTGATCAGTTACAAATCATTATTTTATGATTTATACAGAAGAAAAAGCTGCATTTAGAAATGGAGGAAATAATTACTCTATTTTATTATGTTTTGGGGAGAAGCTACCATGTTTTTGTTTTGAAACAATACTGGATTTTGTTTTTAAACACTTTGGATACATACAAATTTAGAATTGCAGGATAGTTTGGCTTGGAAGTGACCTTTAAATGTCGTCTAGTCCAATCACCCTGCAATGAGCAGGGACATCTTCAGCTAGATCAGATTGCTCAGAGTCCTGCCACCATCAATTTGGGTAACCTGTTACAAGATTTCATCACCCTTGCTGTAAAAAAATGAATTCCTAGCCTGAATATAGTCTGTCTGTCCAGTCTGGATCTATGCTCCTTTCTCATCCTACTGGAACAGGCCCTGCTAAAAAGTCTGTCCCCATCCTGGAAGGTTTCAATGTGGTCTTCACAGTCTTCTCTTCTCCAGGCTGAACCCCCCTAGCTGTCTCATCCTTTCCCCATAGAAGAGGTGCTCCAGCCCTTTGTGGCCTCCTCTGGACCTGCTCCAACAGGTCCATGTCCTTTCCCGTGCTGGAGACCCCAGAGCTGGATGCAGGACTGCAGGTGGAATCTCATGAACACAAAGTAGAGAAGCAGAATCGCTTCCTTCAACCTGCTGTTCATGCTGCTTTTGATTCTTTTTGGGCTGCAAGTTCACATTGCTAGCTCATGTCCAGCCTCTGATCCACCAGCACTCCCAAGTCCTTCTCCTCAGAGCTGTTGTCAATCCATTCAACTCCCAGCCTGTATGGACATCAGGGGTTGCCCTGAGCCCTGTACAGCATCTTGTACTTGGCCTCACTGACCCTCATGAGGATCCACTTTCATCTTGTCCAGATAGCTCATTTTTTCAAGTTCTATTTGGAAACAAAATTCTTGAAATTTTCAGAAAGGATGTATTTTTATTTCCTTTACATGGGAACGTATAAGAAAATAGAAAAGAACCATGGTGTAACCATGGCTACTATGCTCATGATTTTATAGGCACAAAGGAGCATTGTAGGGTCACTCTCATGGTTAATACACATGCATGAGTGCTTGAGGATCAGGAACTGAAGGCCCTTTTCCTTCTGTCCCCTCAGTTGCATACCATGTATGTAACACACCCAACAGCTGCTACAGAACAACACAAATTGTAGAACAAATAATGCCCCTGATAGGGCTGATCACATGAAGCTCACCTGCCAGTCCTGAGGTCAGACAGAAGAACATGCCCAGTTAGGATGCAGTTTGAAACAAGTGCACCAAAGTCACTCCTGTTCAAATTCTGACAGCACGTCCCCAGACTTGCCCAGTTCCCACTGGAGTTTTGGCAGATCATTGTCACCAGACCTGCCTTGCTCTTGTTTGCCAGACAGTGACCCTTACAACTGAAGCCACTGTCCCTGAACACCTTGTCACCTACCATCCTCCCCTGGCTCGCCTCCCCCTGTGCAGCAACCCAGCCTTGCTGCTCCCTCACATGCACCTTCATCTGAAAGCTGACTTTGCACTTTACGGATTTTGTTCACAGAGGTGCATTCATGTTGTTATGCCATGTCAGAGAGAGCAGCACAAAAAACATCCAATGGCAAATAAAGGGCAACTTTCTGTGAGTGGGAGGAAGTTCTGTATCAGCAAAGCTCTCTTATAATAAGAGCTTGTGAAGAATACTTTTTACTATCTGTAGCTGGCAAGGAGACTATGTCCCATCCTGGCAAGTGATGACATGGCCTCAGTAAAACATTACTTTGTCACTCCTTGGCTGAATTACAACAGTACAAAATAAGGGGATATGAAGTCATTTATGGCTCTCTTAATACCAGAATGCAGCAAGCCAGCTCCCAAGCAATCCAACAAATTATCAAAGTGCTCTTGTTTCTTTCCTCATCTTCCAGGCAGTCAGTGAATTGGACCATTACACCCTGAAGACTCCCTGAAGGACTGTAATATTTGCTCCTTAACCACAGCCTGTTACCAGGCTTGGCACAAAAAAAGAGCTGTTTTTTTGTTTAAAGAGCTGCAGTTCTTTGCTTTAGTAGCAAATGTAGATAGCACAGCATTTGGAAGGAAATACACTTTAAATGAAAAATAAACAGCAAAAATTTCCTTTTGGTTTTGAAAAGAAGAAAGAGTTATAAACAACAAATGGCAGCTGAGTACCTCCCTAAAAAGTGAACAGTAAGAGGGATATGACAGATAGAAAAGGCACTCAACAGAACAGATGGAAGTGGATCTGGCAGGGGATCTCCAGGAACCAGAAGGAGTTTTGTTACTGGTGTTAAGGGAGTGGTGTTTACTACAATTAATAGAGCACTTCAGATACAGAATAGTGCCTTTGTTTTTACATTGAAAGTTGTGTGAAATTCATTGTTAATTCAGCTCTCATCTTAAGATATGTATCACAAGTTCTGCAGCTACAGGCTGCTTGATCTTTGAGAGTAATTTATGTTTAAGACTTTATTGCTGCTGTTAAATCACAGGATTCAAGGAGCTGAATTTACAGCATTTCTGGAAAACCCCCTGGAGACAAATATGGACTTTAGCCTTGTTCAGTATATATTTGTCCTGTGTTTGTGGGGAGCACCCATACAGACATATTCCTTGTAGGAGTAGCAGCACAGACATGCTAAACATCATACCCAAATTAATGGTCTCTGCTTAAAAAAGTCCAGAGAGCTTTTTCTCACCTGGAATGAACTGGGAAAAAAAAGACTTCAACAATATAAAAGCATCTCATTTCTCAAGGCTTTTCTTTTGTTTCTGGACTCTACTTCCTGTACTCCAGTGATCTACACCCTCCTGCTGTTGTACACACTATGTAGTTGCAAGTTGGCTTTTTAAGTACATTTTGGGACTAAGCATGTAATATAGCATATAATCTTAGCCAGCCAAATATTTAAGCCTGCACAGTTACACATTTAGTGATGGGCAGCTCAAAAGAAAATGATGTTACATATTATGTCACAAATGTAGTCAGTGTTACAGATACAAATTTTACCCTTGAAATATATTCAGTCAGAAAGACCCCCCATGCCTTGTAATATTTCCCTTTGCCAAGATAAAACTTGGATGAGTTGTACATTACTGGAATGGCTTCAAAACCAACTACAGGCAGAAATTATTTATAGGTTGTTCAGAGCTAAAATAAAGTCTTTTGCTACATGGTGTTCTGACACAGCACAATGCTGGCATAAAGCTCTCCTCAACAGGACCATGACCTTCAAAATCACTGCACACAATCCTGTGCTGGCTGTGATCCACTAACACAGGAGTGTTTGCTCTCCTGTAGTTTCACTGAAAGCTAACAATAATACTTTACACAAAAGTGCTGCCACTAAAGCAGGACTACTCATCAGCATCAATTCCAGCACACAAGTAAGGGCTGGGAAGGAAGGCCACATAGTAACTCCTTGGTTACACAGCTGAACACTGGGGGTCTGGCCTAAAGCTTTAATATGCATTTTACATCAGTGCAATTCCCCAAAACCACATGTTTTTACATGTTAAACATCTAACTAATGCTGCTGAAAGTAATGCTGCTTTCTCTTCACAGAAAGATTTTTCATCTTTTTTTTCAGTAGAATACTTTAGGTGTCTCTTTGCAACGTCAGGTTACACATAAATTTCCCCATATACAGATAAAGACCTGTCTTTCAGTCCTGGCTGGCATTCAGTTCACCAATACCTAATTTCTCATCTCATGCCTCCAGCTCCTTTTTCTGAGAGGTCCTGCAGCTCAGCCCAGAGGAGCTGGCCAGCCTCAGCTGTGTCACAGTCAGATGGGGCAGAACTGTCCTCAATTCCTCCAGCAAATACTCA